TCAGGACTTGTGGCACTAATGTCTTGCCAGTCTGGTCATTGTCCGTGGCGCATCCAATTCAGAACAGTTTTTAAACTTGGGTCGTTTTCTTGGGCCGTTTTGATTTCGCTTGGCTTCCATTCCTCACTCTCTACAGTTGTTCGTCGCAGATGGCCAATCTTGTCTTCTATTTTAGAAAATGTGTGCAGTTGTCCTTGCACGGTCTTCTTGACAAAGCGTCTGCATTATTGTGAACTTTTCCAGCCCTGTGTTCAATGTCGTAGTCATATTCCTGAAGACGTTCTAACCATCTTGCCACCTGTCCTTCTGGGTTTCGGAACTGCAAGAGCCACTTTAGCGCTGCATGATCTGTCCTTATCAGGAACTTGCGGCCGTAAAGGTACTTATGGAAATGTTCGCATGCAACACAATAATTCCTCTTGGGTTTCGACAGTACTTTGCTGAAATAGGCAATGACTCTTTCCTGTCCGTCTTGCAATTGAGAGAGAACAGCTCCAATGGCGGTGTTACTGGCATCGGTATCTAGCACAAACTTTCCTTCATTTCTGGGGTAGCCAAGGATAGGTGCGCTAGTAAGAGCTTGTCGGAGATGTTCGAAAGCTCTTTGACAGTCTTCACTCCATTCGTACTCATTGCCCTCTTCTGTCAACTTTATTAATGGTTTGGCAATGTTGGCAAATCCTTTCACGAATCGTCTATAATAGGTGCACAAACCGAGGAAACTTCCAATCTCGTGCTTGTTCTCAGGAATCGGCCACTCTTGAATCGCTATAATCTTCTCTGGGTCAGCTGTAACACCATCACGAGATACGATGTGCCCCAAATATTTAACTTCTTTTTGGAACATAAAGCATTTCTTGGGACTTAGTTTTAAATTGGCCTCTCGTAATCGTCCAAGCACCTCTCTCAGGTTCTTTAGGTGTTCTTCAAAAGTTTTTCCTACGACAATTACATCATCCAAATATACCAGACATGTCTGCCACGTTAGTCCCCTTAGAACTCCTTCCATAAGTCTCTCAAACGTCGCGGGGGCATTACACAATCCGAAAGGCATTACTGTGAATTGCCAAAGTCCAGAGCCTATAGAAAACGCGGTCTTCTCTCGGTCTGTCGATTCCATCCCCACTTGCCAATAACCACTCTTTAGGTCGAGTGTGGAAAACCATTGGGCTCCAGATAGAGTGTCCAAGGTGTCGTCTATTCTTGGCAGTGGATAGCTATCTTTCTTAGTGACCGAATTTAATAGACGGTAGTCAACGCAAAATCTTGTGGAGCCATCCTTCTTCTTTACAAGCACTATCGGTGATGACCAAGGGCTATACGATGGCTCGATGACACCTTGTTTTCTCATGTCTCTAATAATCTCCTCCGCTTCGTCTCGTTTAGCCAATGGGAGTCGCCTTGGCTGTTGTCTAATCGGTTGCGAATTGCCAGTATTTATTTTATGGGTGACTATGCTTGTCTTGCCCTTGTCCTGGTCGTTTACCGCGAACACATCTCGGAATTCCACAAGCATATTTTTCACCTTTTGTCGTTGTCTATTGTCCAAATCTGGGGTGTTTTTAATGACCATGTCTATCAGCTCTCTTGGATACTTTCCTTTAGATAGATTTTCCGATCTCACAGAGCGAATAGCCGAGATGGGCACACACTGTCCAACTACAGTTCGTTTGCTTAGCTTAACAGGACCATCTTTCAAATTCATAATTCGAATCGGAACGCCATTTTGAACTTTTACCAGAGCCCTAGCCACTAGAAATTCCTTTTCGTTTAGTGCTTCGACTATCCGTAGGCTTTCCTGGCGACAATATCCATCTAAAGTGGCCATTATAATTTTTTCACTAAGTCCGGGTATAATGACGTCATGAGTGGTTAGCAGGCGGATAACATCTTCTTTGTCTTCATGGAAAGGGAGTTCTTCATCGCCGACCTTTAACACGCCCTTTTTCACGTCTAACACAGCTCCGAGTTTCTTAAGAAGATCCATCCCCAAGATGAATTGATCAGAAATATCAGCAATTAGCACCTGGTGATTGATGGTGGTCTTTCCGATGGTGACAGACATTTGTATTTCTCCGTGCGTTTTTATTCTTTCACCAGTTGCTGTTTTAAACTGCACGGTCGAAGATGAGATCCGAGAATGATTCTTCAATAACTCTGGTCTTGCAATAGTTCTTGTTGCACCTGTGTCTACTAGCAAGGATCTGTCTTCTCCATTAACTCGGCCGTCGATGTACAGACTCAGAATTTTTCCAGACGACGTAATGTTTACAGTGAAGATCGGGGCTTTGTTTCTGCAGGTCGACGATAGCCCCTTCCTGTCGACCTTTCTTAGTTTTCCGGCTGCTGTAATGGTTTTTTGGCAGTTGCGGCGAACGTGTCCAATCTCGCCGCAATTCCAACATCGTGGTTCACGTTTCTTTGCCAGTGACTGTATTGCTTTATTGACCTTTTCTTCCACTACTTTACTGACCTTTTCTTCAAAACTTTCAGAACCACCTTCCTCTTCGATGGTTCTTACCCGGCTGTCACTGCGAGGTTCCACCATACGTACTCGCGCACTTCCATGACTAGCTTTCTTGGCGGCTTCGAATTCTACCGCATGGGCCAAAGCTTTCTCAATTTTGTCGTGCCTAGCCAGTCTCAAAGCCTGCTGGGCATCTCCATCACGAACGGCATCGATAAATGTTTGTACAGCCAGTTGATCAAGAAAGCTCTCCGGTGCCGTAGGGTATGCCAATCGAATCAGTCTAGCGATGTCCGCTTCAAGTTCCTGCAAAATTTCTCCAGGTTTCTGCATTCGGTTCTTGACTTGGGCATAGTAAACTTGCTGAAGGTGTTTATCGCCATATCGCATTTCGAGTCGCGCTACTACTTGTTGGAAGTTCTGTTGATCCTCGGGGATAGTCCGCAACACATCCAGAGCATCTCCTCTCAGAGCAAGAATCAGGGCTGTAGTTTTGTCTTGAAGATTCCATTTATTTGCCGCAGCCGCTGCTTCAAACTGTCGAACGTACGTGGTCCAAGGAATCTTACCATCAAAAGTAGGTGGCTTTACTCGGGCTTGCTGAACGTCGCCTTCTACTCTTGTATTTGTTTCTGGGTCAACCTTCTTGTAATGAGTAGGCTGTGGCACCTCAAGAAGACGGTCCATCAGTAATTCATCTGGGGCACTACTAGTACGCTTTTCCGTAGTCAGTCGCAAGAATTGCTCGCGCAGCTCTTCATACTTGTGCTCAATCTCAACGAATGTTGCTTTAAATGTTTTGGAAACTTCCGTAATTCTATCTTCAACTTTTTCTTCAATTGATTTAGAGACTTCTTCGATAATCTTTCTAGAATTTTCTTCCAACTTCTCGAACTTCTCTTGAATATTTCTAGAATTTTCTTCCAACTTCTCGAACTTCTCTTGAATATTTCTAGAATTTTCTTCATTAATCTTCCTAGAATTTTCTTCCATTTTCTCGAACTTCTCTTCAAAATTTCTAGAATTTCCTTCCAACTTCTCTTGAATATTTCTAGAATTTTCTTCATTAATCTTTCTAGAATTTTCTTCCATTTTCTCGAACTTCTCTTGAATATTTCTAGAATTTTCTTCATTAATCTTTCTAGAATTATTACAAATCCCACTATCGCGCGCGTAGAAAATTCCAGAGCGCCAAAGGCGACGTCATGTCTGGAGCGTTTCCGTTACACTATCTTCTACTACAGTTTTGGTCCGATTCTTTTCAAATTGGTGTCGTCGGAAAGATGTTGTAAACGCGCACAACTCCTGCGTGGGGGAATTTTGTTTTTTGGCCTAGGGGCGAAATTAACGACCTTTTATAATAATAATAATAATGTCTCTCTTTCTCGTGTCGCCAATAGAAGCTCGAGCAATGAGAAGTGCCCCCCAAAAATTAAGTACTATCTTGTGGAAGGTTTTTAGCGAGATCCACCAAAATGTGGGTGTAATATAAGTATGCACCGAAAAAGGAAATGTGGTAGCCTCCCACAAGATCTAACTGATGGTGGAGAAAAATCTTCAAACGCGAATTGCGGGTGAACGGGACGTCGGAAGTGGGTACCGTCAAAGGGAATGTGGTAGCCCCCGACACGATCTTACTGATGGTGGAGTCAAATCTTCAAACGCGAATTGCGGGTGAACGGGACGTCGGAAGGGAATGTGGTTTCCTTCGACAAGATCTTTTATTCATGGTTGAGTCAAAAGTCGCTAATAGAATACTGATCTGCCACACAAAAATGCGCTGAAGTCCCTTCGATCTCACACGAGGACTTTGATAATTTTTTTCAAACCTCAGGGAGGGGTGGGATGTATTTCAACATTTCGTTTCATTTTATTCTTTTGCAACGTTTTGTAACAGGAGGGTAACATGCGAGAAAAGGCATTTTTGCTCCTAATAGGTACACAAACATTTTGTTACCATGACAACATAACAAACGAAGAGATCCTTTCCTAATCTCATGAATGTTTCAACGCCTTATTTTGGTTTAGACTTTCCAAAACATCTATATCAGGAGAATATAGCATGCAAAGATGTGCTTCTGTTCCTAGTACATAAGCTAATTCCTAGTACATAAGCTAATACTTTCTCTAAACATTTTTGCTCTTGGTTCTGGCTACACCAAACGAGGGGGTAGTTCCCTAACATGAATACGAATGAAGCTCATTTATCAGGGGAATATAATTCGCCTACTCACTCTGCAGAGCTGTTTGAGCCCTTCGATTCTAGAACAATATGGGCTCCCTTGACTACGAAAAGGACATGGAAAGAGGTGTACAAAAAAATTCTAGTCTCCTCTCAGAATTCTTAGAAACTTTCCAAGACTCTCTACGTTTCTGACCTTAAAAACGGTCTAGAAGGACTAATAGACTCTCCAAAGCTGTTAGACCCTTTTCACACAGTTTTTTCGGAACCTTGTAGATCCTTCTGAAGCTTTGCAAACGATCTAGAAGGCCTCCAAAAAGCTTGAATAACAAATTTTGAGTTTGATCGTAGATTACGGCGACTCGAGCCGAGTGACGTTGAGCGAAAGAGGAGTGGTAAACGACAGCATGTTCGTTTTCAAGTGGGTACGCGAGCGAGCAACCGGCAACGTATTCATTTGGGGACACTCGTTGGGCACGGCGATTTCGACGCACATGCTGGCTCTGGCAGCCGCCGAAAACCTGCGGCCGGCCGGCCTCATTTTGGAAAGTCCCTTCAATAACTTGCGTGACGAAATGAAGCTGTACCCCTTTATTATGGTAAGGTGTGCTACGCACGACTGTCTGCTCAGTCATTCTTGCAGTTGCTACAATTCCTTCCCTGGTTTTCGTACACGGTTCTGGACGCCGTGCAGGAGAATAAGTTGCTGTTTAAAACAGACGAGCATATCAACAACGTGGACTGTCCAATTTTGATATTGCACGCCAAAGACGATATGATAGTGCCTTTCAAACTGGGACGGAAGGTATGGTAGTGAACGTATCAGTTCTGTTGTTATTCTTGTTGTTTTCTAGTTGTATCAGAGTGCCAAAGAAAAACGAATGCCTACGCAGGGAGAGATTCACTTTCATCCCTTTGATAAAGGGGAACAATATGGACACACCAACATATGGCGTGCACCCCATTTAAGTGACCTGATAAAGAAGTTCGTTGGTGATTGTGCAAAGTGAAGTTAATATAGTATTTTTTTGTCAAATGGTACCTACCTATTTAATAATGGCAGTATTCGATTGTATTTTTCTAATAAATTTACATATTTTGTTGGTTTACTTAAAGAACTATTTTTGTAGGAAAATAACAACAAAGAAAACCCCCGGAAGACTCGACGGATTTTTATTATTTTTAAAAACCCTTAAAGACTCACAAAACCCGCTTGAGATTTCAAAAGCCAATAAGAACGAAGACAAACAATCTAGAAGGCTCTTCGAGATTACCGACTCAAAAAGTCATAAAGGCTCCTAAACGTAATAAGTCTCCCGATGACTTCGGCTTTTAGAAGACTTTGAATCTTGGAGAAGTTATTAGCGACTATTAAAGGCTTAGAAAGAACTATATTGAAAAGTATTTTAAACTCGCTTAAAGCATACTAAAGAATTTAAAAAAATCGCATGGGTTTTCAAACGCTCTAAAAGTCAGCAAGAGTCTCTAAAAGACCTTTAGAGACAGTTGAACGCCCATGGATATTCTAAGAAAATTATAAAAAGATTAAAAAGCCTTTATAATAATAATTTAGTAGTAATAGATAAACTGTTGGCGATTTATCAATGGTTCTTAAGGGCTTTTAAGGACCGATAAGAGCTTTTAAGGTTTTTAAGAACTCATATGATGCTCCAAGATTATTGAGTAAAGGTTCGGTTTTTAAAAAACCTTCAATTCTTAATTCTTCAAACATTCACAAAGGCTCGATTCTAAAAATAGAGTAATCTCTAAAAGATTTTGGAAAAGAAGACAATTTGCGACCCTTGCAAGCTCTTAAAGACTATTAAAGATATCGATAAGCTCACAAAAAAATTTTAATGCCAATTAAAGGCTTTGAGGGTCGCCGGCAAACGTTTGTTGACTCTTGAAAACCTTAGAAGACTCATGGATATTCTAGTAGGTTTCTTTTTAAAGGCTCTAAAAAACCTTTAGACGAGTGGACTCTTTGGAAACTTCTGATACCCTTAGAAACATAATAAGAGAGATTCTTCAGGATTTTCAAAGGCTTTAAAATTCAATTAAAGGTTCTCCAAGAGACCTTTAGAGACTTGCAAACATTCGAAACACTCTTAAAGGTTTGTTTTTAAAGATTAAAAAGGCTTCAGACATTTCTTACTTTTGAAGGCTCTTAAAGAGTCTTTTAGAGATTTATTAAAAATGTATGCAGCTTTTAAAGGGTTAGAAGAACTGATGTAAACCCTTAAACGCTATTATTCAAAGCGTCTTGTAAATTTTATTTATTTTTTGTTTGTATTATTGCATTTTTATTTATTTGAACTCGGGGGACTTAAACACCTATAAAGCGCCCTAAAGATTTTTAATAGCACTTATAGACTGATAGATGGCCTTTGGAGGTTATTGAAAACCTTCAAAAACTCAGGTCTGTTTTTCAAGACTAAAAAGATTTCAGTTGACTCTTGGGGACTTTTGGTAGCCCTTAGCTTTAAGAAAGGCTGTTAGAGTCATTTAAACGTTCTAAACCTTTTCTAAGGCTCCTTAAGGGGTCTAATTTAAATGAAAATTTTATTTTCGAATTTTCTTGACCCATATTAATGTTTCTGGAAGACTCTTTGGAGTTCTTTAATAGTTTCTAAATGATCCGTAAAAGCGCATTGAAAGGCTTGTCTTCTCAATACTAAGGGTTTCTAAAATAAGGCCCTTAAGTAGATTCAAAAGTTTTAACAGTAAAATAAAAGCTCTCAAGGGTTCTAGAAGACGTTCGGAAACACTTTAAAAGCTAATTAAGGCTTTCTAGGCCGCTAAAGACTTATACGGATTATGAAAGATTCTCCTCTAAAACCCAACTGCGAGTATTTGAAACATTTTTAGATTTTTAAAGACTATACCTAAGTAAGCGTTACAAGGCTCTAAAAGTCAATTAATTGCCACTATAGAAAACCTTTTTAGACTTTTGAAAACCTTCGAAGACCCATGGGCATTTTTAATATCTTATTTCTAAAAAGTAAAAAAGTAGAAGCGTTGGGAAAATTCTAGAAACGTATTTCAATTTTTTAAAGAACGGTGAAGGATTTTCACGATAAAAGATCCTACAGAGGTTTAAAAAGGCTGCAGAATAATGACAGTCAACCGGGGGGGGGGGGGGGGTAATTTTCAAGTGCTTTTATATATATATATTCGACGTACAGGCACCCGGCTTTTGAATGCGATAAAGTTACATTCAGGCACCTGTATATGAGCAGAATCATATATGCAATATGTCACCACGTATACATAATATAAGGTCAACAGAACATCTCGATCTCCGACCGCACAGACCTTTTAGGGGACCTCGCTGGGAAGGGGGGGGGGGGGAAACATTTCAACGTGCTCTAAAAACATAGTTTCTATATACCCACAGTAACAATTCCTAATTTCAACTTAGTTTCCAGTGGAACAAATTCTCGGTAACAGACCTTCCATTTAATTGGAATTAAATAATTTGGAACTTTATAATTTTTATTTATTAACAACCTGTGCTTTTACACGCAAACACATTTTTCAATGTTAAAAGTTAGTGAACAAACGACAATTTCAATTGCAATGCACAGTATATCACTTCGTAAAACGATGCACAATTAGCTCTCCAAAAAACACCGTGGTAGATAATAACAACCCAAAACCGAATACTACAAAGGCACCACTGAGGTGCTCAAAAGAAAAAGCCACCACGTCTTCCTCAGAAATGAATGTTCTCTTCTTCGCCTCTGCGTGGAACGTTCTATCCCGATCCAACTTTTCGTATAATCCACTTTCAGTCAGTCTATCAATAATCACGTCCATACTATCAATAACGTAAACGTGGTCCATACTCATAAATACATTCGTGACAACTGGCAACATTTTTTTCTCAACAAAATAAGGTGGAGTGGATACTTGCAGGCTCAATTCAATCGATTGCAATGTCTTGAAAAGTACGGCGAATGAGAAACTTTTATCAGCATACCAGCTCTTTGTTAAGTTGCGCGGGTCACCTTTTATATGAAATCGTTTATTGAACTCGTCTATTACGTAAAGCAGATGCAATTCATACATGTGCGCGGACTCAACATCTAACCAAATGGAAAGATTTGTTCTGGTCAACTCGTCTAAGCTGTCAATGTGTTTTCCCGTCGGTAGCGACACTAACAACCTCATTAATTCCGCAAGGTACGCGGTTTGTATGTGTATGCTGTATATTATGTAACACATGATTAAGAATCTTGCAGTTGAACAGTCGGGAATGCAATTGGAGCTGCCACAAAATGTGATTCTGACCGTGTTTAGTATGATAGCACACAGGCTCACCTTAAATCGACAAATAACGTACCAAGTCAGGCAGAATAACACAGAAGTCAGAAAAATCGATAGCCAAACTTCTTTCTTGAAGGCAACAATCAAAACCTCAATATAAGATATCTTATCTGTTGGAGGGACGACGAACACAACGTTGTCTCTTGCAAACACATGACTGATACGCAAATATGGAAAGATATTAATTGTCAGCGTCGAATCGGCAAATACATTCGGAGAAGTGTTGCCAACAGGATCGATGAAAGAAATGTTTAATATCTCCTGCGTAATATTCAAGGTATACTCTCTCGGATCAAAGTCGTATCGTGATTTAATTAGCATACTGACAGTTACGGGGCAGCCATTACAGTTTCTGGTGGCTTTAGGAATTGTGTCCGTAAATGAACCTATACAACTTTGGTTGTGGATCACGTTTGTTTGGTTGCCGCAGTAATTCAATAGTTCGTTCGGATCTCCCGTAAATAAGAGCGAATTCGTGTGGATTTTGGTGTCGATCACCAACACTGCGACGTAGACGGAGTTGTTCTTCCAAAACCATTTCAAGATCGCTTTAACTAAATCACTGTGGTCGGTTATCACTAGAAATCGCCCGCTGAGCATATGATATGCGGTTAGTCCCAAATATGTAATGGCGTCCTCCAATATGCTTAAGTTAGTAGCTTGAATTACGAAATTGTAAAAAGGCCATCCTAGACGAGGCATCTTGTTTGTGATGGGGTTAACATGCATCTTGCTATTACTTACATGAAACGGTAAAAGATGGTTCAAGTTATTAGAGCAAACGAAGTAAACGGGTTTTTTTCCAAAAACCATTTCAACGGCTTTCGCGCCACATTCCCCTACCCATCGCGACGATGCACTGATTCCAAGTTGCGAATTGTAAATTGCGAAAAGAACACCAAAGAGAATAGCGCCTTTCATTCCAATGACTTGACGCTACTTTAAAACGTTTACAAATGACGCGAGATAAAGTAAAACTCGAGCTAGAAGTTTTTCATGCAATTGATTATTGATTTGAGTGGTCATGTATTATGTTTGTGCCTTTGTGGAGACTTGCAGTCTATAATTTAATGTTTTGCCACCAGAACGTATAATAACAAAGTACAATATTCACCCAACAAGCTCGTATTTACTTAATAACAAAGCACTAATAATACAGCGCTAAGAATGGCAAGACGACCTTCGGATTTACGAAGTATTTTATAGTAGACGAGTATAACTAGACTTTCAATTTATTTCCACGGACTTTTAATGGCCTAATGGTCTGTAAAGGTGTTTGAGGGTCGTTATTTAAACGCGTTTAATAATCTTTAAGGGTATATTCATTGTCCAATTTGGATAAGCCTATAAGATGCATTGTAAGTTTTAAAAATGTTTAATTATATAAATACTACAACACTTTTGTTAGACACTTTTATAAAGACTCTTAAGACCTTTAAAGATCCATGTAAACTTCTAAGCCATTTAAGGCTTACAAGCTCTTGAACATGCAAAGCGTACTTACTAAGAATTTTTTAAAACAATCTTTTAAGGTTCTTAAGGCTTTTAAAGGTCAACTAAAGATTCTCAAATCCTCTACAAGACCTTTGTTAGTTCTTGAAAGACCCTTAAATGCAATTAGAGACCATCAAAGCGCATTGTAAAAAATATAGGCATTGCATTTGAAAAACAAAAGTTGCATCGATTTCCGGTTAAACCGGAAGTGATGCCGGAAGTTTGAAGATGTGATCAGATAAATCGTAATGTCACATATAAAATTACATTTGACACATTTTTCGTATCTCTCCAAATAAAAGAGATATTGAGGTGACTCTCTTATCTCGAACGCACTGTATAAGTGTTTACCCTTAAACACTGCTCAAGGTGCCTTTTAAATAAGTACGTTTAAAGCGTTATAAAGGCCTTCCAAAGATCGAGTTAATTAAACGCCTCTAAAAGACCTTGGAGACCCTTGAAAACCTTTCAGAGCGAATGGATATTGAAGGTTTCGTTTTAAAGATCCTAAGCGGCTCGTGAGAACCTGTAAGGTTACTCACGGGCCGAGAAGACCATTACAACATCCGGAAGACACTTAAGGACTCCCATGTTGGGAAAAGAACAACAAAGAAAACCCCTTGAAGGATGTGGCAAGGTTTAAATGGTTTTCAAGGCTCTTAAAGTTCTGAATGAACCTTAGATGTCCTTAAGGGATAGTAAAGGCTCCTGAAAACTGCTTTGTGTTACTACTTGACTCAACGGGAGTTTTTTAAAAACCCTTAAAGGTGCATGGCTGAGCTTTTAAAAAAGGAGAACTCTAAAACAATCTAGAAGACCCTTTGAGATTATCGACCCTTACAGAGCACAAAACGTCTTAAATACTCTTAAATGTAATAAGCCTCCTAATTACTCTGAAGCATTTACAAGAGCTTTTAGTTGACTAAGAGATGTTGAGACCTCTACATTAAAAATGTTTATTTTAAAATACTAAAAATCCTTTAGAAAACGGAATCTTGGAGACTTTTGGAAGCTCTCAGATGTTCGTATGACTATTCAAGATCTTTAAATACCCATAAGAACCTAAAAGAGGCTTTTAAGAACTATACCTATCGGTTCTTCAATTGATACTAAGAATCTTAGAGACTTTCAAAGGTCCTTAAAGGCTCTAAAAGGTTCTCAGCCCTTCCAAAAGTCCTTTGATCGCCCATATTCTAAAAATTTATAAAAGACTAAAAAACCTTTATACTATTTTAATTGACTCTTGGAGGCTTTTCACAGCCCTTGGAAACTATTGGCGATTTATCAATGGCTCTTACGGCCAATACATGATTTTACAGGTATTTAAGGACTCATATGATCCTGAAAGGAACGATAAATAAGTAAAAATTCTGTTCTTAAGTATTTTGAAAGGCTTTTAACGACCTTTATTAATTCTTAAAATTCTTCAATATTCTCAAAAACTGTAAAAGACTATTAAAGATATCCATAATAATGGTCCATATAATATGAGATAAGCACTCTTAGACACAATTAAACACTGTTAAAGCGCATCAAAAATATCAATGGCAATTAAAGGCTTTGATGGCCGCCACAAAACGTTTGTTGACTCTTGAAAACCTTATGGCTATTCCTAACGGTTTCCTTTTAAAGACTTTATAAACCCTTTGCGTGATTTTAGTTTACTGTTGGAGGCTTTTGGAAGTCCTTAGAAGCTTTTGATACTTTATTAAAGGCTTTTAAAGGCCCATAAACGACTTTAAAGGTTTTTAAAAATTAATGTAAGCCCTTAAAGGTTTTTAAAACTCATATAAACCTTTAAAGCTATTCAAGGCGTATTTTTAAACACCTTTAAAGCGTCTTAAAGATTTTGAATAGCTCCTATGGACCTTCAAAGACTCTAAAAGTCCATTTTAGATGTTCTCAAGGTCTTTGGAGATTCATGAAAGCCTTCGAAAACTCATGGACATTCCTAAACGTTTCTTTTTAGAGAGCTTTAAAAAATTTTAGTTGAGCCTTGGACATTTCTGGTGATCCGCATGCTCTTTAAAGTTCTTCAAAGGGTACTAACGACTTTGAAGGCTCATTAATTTTTAAAAAGTACCAATTCAAGGCTGTCCAGACCTCTAGAAGACCTTTCGAATGCGCTGGAAGACCTACAAAAGATCCTTGATAGTTCTCACAACCTCTCACCATGCCCATTTCTATTTTCTATTTCGGTATTCACCTTTTTTAAAGCCTCTTAAGGGCTATAATGTAAATGGCACTATTATTTTGCAATGATTATTTTTTCTGGAAAACCATTTAAGGCTTTTGGTAGCGCCCTTAAAAACTTTGAACGCTTATAAAATTTTTGAGTGTTTCTAAAGGATCGATGAAAGCATTGAAAGGCTTAAAATAAATTTTAAGGCGTACTAAGTGTTTCTAAAGGCTCTTAAGGAGCTTCAAAAGCTTTAAAAGTCAGTTAAAAACTCTCAAAGGCTGTAAAAGACCTTTTAAAGATTCATGGATATGCTTAAACATGTTGAAATGTTTTGTAAAGACCTTTAAAAGTATCTAAAAATTAGCATGCAATTTTTGGAGCATTTGAAAGCTCTTAGAAATTATTTCGATTGAGAATTCAAAGCTGTACGGTGAGTCTCTTGACCACTTTAAAAGCTAATTGAAGGCTTTCTATGCCACTAAAGACAGGGATTCTAAGATTCTCCTCTAAAACGCAACTAGAAGGTCCTAGGAGCCTTTTAAAGATCCTTGAAAAAGATTTTTAAAGGCTCTAGAAGCATTAGACGGTTTTTAAGGGCTTTTTTTACGGCGAACCAGCTGTACTTGTAACAGTCCGTTACATCTGGAAAAAAATTCTGGAAAGCGTTTAGAAGGCCTTTAGAGGACTTTGACTCCTGGAGGTCTTTGGAAGGTTTCGGAAACTATTAACTTTTAAGGGTTTTTAAAGAGCTTTTGCATATTATTAAGAACATATGTAGTACTCCCTTAAACACTATTCATAGCGCCTTTTAAGCCACACTGAAGCATTTTGAAAGACCCTAAAGATCAATAAGAGGACTCTTGAAACCCTTTCAACCCTTCAATACGATTTTAAAATACTCTTGAAAACTTTTTGAAAATTTATTAGACGATCTTAAAGACTCATACAAGTTTTAAAAAATTGTGGCGTTCTTTAAACATCTCTAAAACGTAATAAACATTTTAATATGAATTCTTGAGGATTTTGAAAATTCAATTAAAGGCTTTCAATGTTTCTAGAAAGTTTTAAAAAGCCTTCAGTAGGCTTGGAGAGTTTTGCAAGCTCTTAGAAATGTTTCCCAAAGTTCTCTAGGCCTTTAGAGTCTTATCTAAGTTCATTTAACTCAAAGGTTCGTTCTTAAAGACTAAGCCCGTTAAAGGCCTTAGACACTAAAAAATGATTAACGATTATGAAAAACGACCTTGGGAACTCGAGAACATTGTAAGAAGAGACCATGACGCTCTCGGATACTGTTACCGCCTCTTTTAAAGGCCTACGACTGCAAGACTCACAAAAGCTCTGAAGACACTTTTAAAAGCGCATATAAGTATGCTTTTTAAGAGCTCTCTAGAAGATCCTAGACCTGGCCTTGAATTTAAACTTTCTTGAAAAGGTTTTTAAAGACTCTTAGGCTCTTTGATAAACCCCTTAAGGCTTTTTGGAAGCTCTTAAAAATTGTTAGTGACACTAACAGCTTTTCAAGTCCCTTTGCTATCCTTACAATTCACAATATGCCCTCTTTAAGTTTCATTTATCACTGTTAGAGGTTATAAAAAGAGGTCAAAGAAAACGTTGGGGTAATAAAAATATCGAAGAGATGGCGTTGGAAAGCCAAAGGTATGAAGTTCGTCCTACTTCCCGCAGATACGCCACTGCAGCGAGCTTGATTTCCGCCGATCTAACCTCAAATTTTGCGTTGTCAACGTCAAACCCAAATCCCCAATTTATTTAATCTAATCTCGAGTCTTGACCGCTTACCAGCCAATTAAGATTGCTCTCCGATGGACTCATTAGAATTAATCGCAAAATCGCCAATGCTGAAGCACTTTCTCCCCCGTACGAATTAGTCGGGAGCTTCTGGGGGGTATGTCCGAATCATTGGCCTCAATTGAAATTAATTGAATCAAACGATGGCCGACGCGGAGGGAACGAGTGGTCTTATTGGTAGCATGCGTGTGGTGGTTCCTTTAGGGATTGTGCTAATGTTGCACTCGCTGAATGTGTAAGTTGTATGCAAGTGGGGCAACGGTACGAACTACAGTTTTGTGCGGTTTCAGAATCTCCACCTGCACACTTAGTGCCTTACTGCTCGCGTTTCTCCTTATCTTTGTTGTCGGACCGTTCACCTACAGGTACTCCCATCGGTTTCGTCAGTCAACTATATTTTTAAACTTCGGTAAGTGTGCATATGCTGTCAGGCAGTCGAATTTTATATTCATGTGAAACTTCTGCCTATTCTTGAGCCTTTATAAGCCTTAAAGACTCTTATGAAACCTTAGGAGCCTTTAAAAACATTCATGAGTCACCAAATTGTTTATCTCCAAGGGTTTTCAATAGCATCCCCAGCCATTGAGTGGCCTTTAGAGCTCTAAGGTCTCATCTTCTTTGATCCTTCTTCACGGCTTCTGCTCCTTGCATCCTTTTTCAAGCCTTCTCCGGACCTTGCCACATTCCTTCAAGCTCCTTCCTACTCAAGTCTTCCTACCTCCATTGAACTTTGTTCACGCACCACTTTTTTAAGACATTCAGGCCTTATTTATTTCATAAGCCTTTCTTCAAACCCTCCCCCTTTCACGCTGCATTCATGTCTTCTTCACACTTCTGGAAGATTTCTTCATTTCTGCTTCAGGACCTCTTCACGTCTGCCTAAAGGTTTTTTACACCGGTTTTTTTTTACTAACTTTCTTCGAGATCTGCTCTTCTCTATGCTTCCTTCAGGTTTTCTTCACCTCCGACTGGCTCCTCGATTTCTTCACATCTGCTTCAAGTTTTCTTCACACCTGCATTCAATCTTCTCGCGGATATTCTTTAAGCTTGCTTCGCATCTCTTTTTTCCACATCTTCAAGCGTCTCCGACCTTCTTCAAACTTTCTTCACGCCCAAGTCCAATTTTCTTAAAGACCAAGCATCTTTACCCCCCTAACATCTTTCTGTTTCCTTAGCTTCAAGTGCTTTTCGCGCCTGCTTCCAACTTTTTCCCACGCTTCCTCACTTCTTCTTCCAGCCCAGTACCTTCAAACCTTTTTCGAGGCGCTTCCGAAGTATTCACACTTCAGATCTTCGTGTCCATCCCCCCCCTCCCCCAGCAGGCAGACGGTTTTGGGCGAGGAGTGTGGGGGGGGGGGATTAAAAGGGAAATTCGGTCACCCTTTCCCCACAACCATCATTATGGCCATGAGATCATTCGTGTACCCACTTCAAAAAAGTTTTCGTATACTACTGGGGGATATCACATCCCCCCCCCCCCCCCCAGTGGTACGTTCGGCACGGAGGTCTTCATAACTGCAAGTCATTTCTCCGTCTCCTTCTACTGAACGTGTCCCGTAAACCCTTCTCATCTCCTACGGGTCTTCGCGGCTCTTTCAAGCCTTATCCTCACTCATTCAAGCGATCGCACCATCTTCCCAAAGCCGTCTCCACGCCTCCTGAACCTTTTTCGTGTCACCCACCTTCAAACCATCTTCACACCTCATCTAAGTCCTTCGCCACGCCCTTTCTAAGTTACCTAAGGCCTTCACGAAGGCTTCTTCTGTTAGCCGTTCCTTCAAGACGTCATCCAAAATTTAAGAGGAGAGGGAGGGGGAGTTGCCTTATTTTTATTCTATTTGCAGTCACAATTCCATTGCAAGCTGATGTGAAAAACCCGGGGAAATACGGTCTGAAGGCCGTGTTAAACTTCTACTTGATGACGGACGACGACATCACCTTAGGCGTCTGGCACATCGCTCACGAAGACGCGATCGACTCGTGCGACGGCCAAGACATAGAGCACTACCGTTCCGCCCTAGGCGACGGTCGCGACGTCGTCCTCTACTGTCACGGGAACGCGGGTAACCGATCGGTCCCGCATCGGGTCGAGATGTACGCGGTCCTGAGGAGGCAGTTTCACGTCATAGCCTTCGACTATCGCAGTAAGTCTGGGATTTGGTTGGGGAGAGCGTAAGTGCCGTCGTTGCAGGTTACGGTGATTCGAGTCCGGTTCCGCCTAGCGAACGCGGGTTGGTCGCCGACAGCTTGTTTATTTTCAAGTGGGTGCGCGGACTTGCCAAGGGAAACGTCTTCGTTTGGGGACACTCGTTGGGCACGGCGATTTCCACCCATATGCTTGACGTGGCGGCCGCCAGTGATCTCCGTTCGGTCGGTCTTATACTAGAGAGCCCCTTTAACAATATGCAGGATGAACTTCGACTGCATCCATTTACTAAGGTGGCTAGAGTTTGCATACATTTGCGTATTTAAAGCGAAATCGCTGATGTATGCAAAAATATGCATCCATTTCTGTGAATTTCAGTTATTCCGCTCTCTACCTTGGTTCAGATATTGCGTGCTGGAACCGGTAAAATCGAGCAACTTGCTGTTCCAAACCGACGAGCATATCAACAACGTCGACTGCCCCATTTTGATATTGCATGCCAAAGACGACGTAATTGTGCCTTTCCAACTGGGACTCAAAGTAAACGCATCGCCTACGTTACTGTTTTACCAATTGCTTTTTAGTTGTATAAAAGTGCCAAAGAGAATCGACTGAAAACTCAAGGGGAGGTTCGGTTCCATCAGTTCGAGGAGTCGCTGTGGTTCGGACATAAGTACATTTGTCGGTCGCCCGATTTGGGAGAAATAATTAGGCAAGTGACCCCCCCCACAATAGTTCCCTACTAATTTTTTTGTTTTTGCAGGAGTTTTGTGGTTGATTGTCTCACAACGAACGGAACAGATTAAATGAGGAGATTCGTTCAGTATTTTTTAATTTCACACGCGAAGACTGCGCTTTGGCTGTTAATTTCAACGACGTACTAGACCTATTTGCACAAAAATTGCCTTTTCTAAGCAATATTAGAAGGGTAGGCAACGCATGTGCATTTTTGCATGATGTGTTGCCCAACCCTGTATCCTTGGAGGCTTTTTAACTATCATTGTATCGCTATTTCGTGTTCGAAATATACTTTTAATAAAAGACCTTATTCATGATGGTTGCATTTTTTTAAAGTTAGAGACTTATTTGGCTCTTAGGGTCTTTGGAGGTCCTAAAAATTTAGTCTAAGAGCTTCAAAGAGTATTTACAAAGCTTTTATCGAGTGACGAGTGTTCCTTTGCTGAAAGGGAGTATTCAATAACTCCCCAGACCCCCCGGTGGTACATTTTTCCCCAAAAACATTTAGTGATTGCGTACTACACAAAAAAGAAAAATTCGTCTGTCCTTTTCAAAAACGAATTACTAGTGTTCAATTGTTCTTGTAGGACACCTGGTACCGGCGGGTCTGAGGATAATTATATCGAGTACCTCTATTCCTTTACTGGGGGGTATTCCTTGAAGGTGTGGTGAAAGTCCGCAGGCGCTAAAAAGACTCATCTTGGGAAAGTACGTACCTCTGGGGGGTATGGAATACCCCCCAGACCCCCCGGTGCTACCATCTACCCCAATACTCTCAGCCCTCCATATGAAATATTGCTGATAACGGATAATGTGACCGCACTCCATAGGAAACTATCGTACAAGCAACTAGGGGAGAGTACGTACCACCGGGGGGTCTGGGGGGTATGGAATACCCCCCAGGCAAACAAGGGATATTATTAAAACTTTCCCGAAATGCAGCTATCATTTTAATTTTTTTATGGAAAATGTAATCGATTTATCCTGTGTTATGGGGGGTATTCCAGACCCCCCGCTGCTACCATCTCCCCCAATACTCTCAGCCCTCCATATGAAATATTGCTGATAACGGATAATGTGACCGCACTCCATAGGAAATTATCGTACAAGCAACTAGGGGAGAGTACGTACCACCGGGGGGCCAGGGGGTTATGGAATACCCCCCAGGCAAACAAGGGATATTATTAAAACTTTCCCGAAATGCAGCTATCATTGTAATTTTTTTATGGAAAATGTAATCGATTTATCCTGCGTGCTGGGGGGTATTCCATACCCCCCAGACCCCCCGGTGCTACCATCTCCCCCAATACTCTCAGCCCTCCGTATGAAATATTGGTGATAACGGAAAATGTGACCGCACTCCATAGGAAATTATCGTACAAGCAACTAGGGGAAAGTACGTACCACCGGGGGGTCTGGGGGGTATGGAATACCCCCCAGGCAAACAAGGGATATTATTAAAACTTTCCCGAAAGGCAGCGATCATTGTAATTTTTTTACGGAAAATGTTATCGATTTATCCTGCGTGTTGGGGGGTATTCCATACCCCCCAGACCCCACGGTGCTACCATCTCCCCCAATACTCTCAGCCCTCGTATTAAATATTGCTAATAACGGAAAATGTGACCGCACTCCATAGGAAATTATCGTACAAGCAACTAGGGGAAAGTACGTACCACCGGGGGGTCTGGGGGGTATGGAAAACCCCCCAGGCAAACAAGGGATATTATTGAAACTTTATCGAAAGGCAGCTATCATTTTAATTTTTTTATGGAAAATGTAATCGATTTATCTTGTGTTATGGGGGGTATTCCATACCCCCCAGACCCCCCGGTGCTACCATCTCCCCCAATACTCTCAGCCCTCCGTATGAAATATTGCTGATAACGGAAAATGTGACCGCACCCCATAAGAAATGATCGTACAAGCAACTAGGGGAGAGTACGTACCACCTGGAGGTCTGGGGGGTATGGAATACCCCCCAGGCAAACACGGGATATTATTAAAACTTTCACGAAAGGCAGCGATCATTGTAATTTTTTTACGGAAAATGTTATCGATTTATCCTGCGTGTTAAATATTGCTAATAACGGAAAATGTGACCGCACTCCATAGGAAATTATCGTACAAGCAACTAGTGGAAAGTACGCACCACCGGGGGGTCTGAGGGGTATGGAAAACCCCCCAGGCAAACAAGGGATATTATTGAAACTTTATCGAAAGGCAGCTATCATTTTAATTTTTTTATGGAAAATGTAATCGATTTATCTTGTGTTATGGGGGGTATTCCATACCCCCCAGCCCCCCCGGTGCTACCATCTCCCCCAATACTCTCAGCCCTCCGTATGAAATATTGCTGATAACGGAAAATGTGACCGCACCCCATAAGAAATTATCGTACAAGCAACTAGGGGAGAGTACGTACCACCGGGGGGTCTGGGGGGTATGGAATACCCCCCAGGCAAACAAGGGATATTATTAAACTATACCGAAAGGCAGCTATCATTGTAATTTTTTTATGGAAAATGTGATCGATTTATCCTACGTGCTGGGGGTATTCCATACCCCCCAGACCCCCCGGTGCTACCATCTCCCCCAATACTCTCAGCCCTCTGTATGAAATATTACTGATAACGGAAAATGTGTCCGCACTTCTTAAAAAATTATCGTACAAGCATCAAGGGGAAAGTACCTACCACCGGTGGGTGTGGGGGTATGGAAAACCCCCCAGGCAAACAAGGGAAAACTTTCCCGAAACAGCTGTCATGGTAATTTTTTTTTAAATGGTAAATAATCGATTTAACCTGTGTGCTGGGAGCTATTCTATACCCCCCAGAGCTACCATCGCCCCCCCCCCGCTCCAACACTTTTAGCCCTCTCGTATGAAATATTGCTGATAACGGAAAATGTGACCGCACCCCATAAGAAATTATCGTACAAGCAACTAGGGGAGAGTACGTACCACCGGGGGGTCTGGGGGGTATGGAATACCCCCCAGGCAAACAAGGGATATTATTAAACTATACCGAAAGGCAGCTATCATTGTAATTTTTTTATGGAAAATGTGATCGATTTATCCTACGTGCTGGGGGTATTCCATACCCCCCAGACCCCCCGGTGCTACCATCTCCCCCAATACTCTCAGCCCTCTGTATGAAATATTACTGATAACGGAAAATGTGTCCGCACTTCTTAAAAAATTATCGTACAAGCATCAAGGGGAAAGTACCTACCACCGGTGGGTGTGGGGGTATGGAAAACCCCCCAGGCAAACAAGGGAAAACTTTCCCGAAACAGCTGTCATGGTAATTTTTTTTTAAATGGTAAATAATCGATTTAACCTGTGTGCTGGGAGCTATTCTATACCCCCCAGAGCTACCATCGCCCCCCCCCCGCTCCAACACTTTTAGCCCTTAACTCTTTGTATGAAATATTTCTCATAAAAAGACGTGACCGCACTTCATAGACAATTATCGTACAAACATCAACCACGGGGGATCTAGGGGTATGGAATACTCCCCAGGAATGGAATATTTAACGAAAATTTCAAGGTATTATTTTTAAGAAAGGTAATCATTTTCTTCCATAACCCCCTCCCCAATCAATGGGGAACCAAGTACGGAATACCCTCCAACAAACATATGAGTAATCGACTACCTCTTAACGAATCTAAAAAAATTGAAGAATGAAAAAAGCCCCACGAATCTAATAGATCTGGAGAACTTGAGGAAACAAAAATCTTTGAATCTAACGAATGTAAAGCAACAGACGAGCCCCTAAAGAGTCTGATAGAGCTGAAGAATTGGAAGACTCTGACGTGACTCAAGCGAGTATGAAGAACTTCAGGAACCCGAAGGACATTATTACAAAATCAAACAATTTTATTTGGTGGATGTTAAATAATCCACTGAACCCGTCAAGAAGTAATTGAAAACATTAGAATGGACGAATTCGGGGGATGCTAAGGTATTGTCGAACTCCAAGGATCCAAAAAGAAGAATTGAACGAACTTGAAGGAGCTTAATAACCTTATGATTCCTATGATGATCTTAACTATGCGCATGCCCAGCACTAAGTTCCTCATTGGCGGAGAGAAATAAATTAGAAAGTACCAAGCAGGCATAATCAAAAGAATGCAGAATCTCTCGACGCTGGGATGCGCCCCCTTGATCTTCCGGCAATTTCTCTAATTCGGCGTAACAACGCTTGCGTCACCGCATTTTTACAAGTCAATAGTCAATAAGCCAATTAGTGGGTAATAGAATATTAATTTCCAAAACAAGTTCTTTGGGGAAGTTCGAAGGCTAGGAGTGAGCGAAAAAAAAAAGATCCGCAATGTAGGTGCCAATTAAAACGCCGCCGCCGCGCCGTGAAAGTACGCAATTTTGAGGCTAAAGCTGTGCGTCGATTTTTTCATTCGCAATTATCGGGTGTTGAATTTCTCCCTGACTCTGTAAGAATTTAATGAAAAAGAACAGTAAAACTAGTTGCTAATTGAGTTCGAGACGGAATTAACAAGAGGATTGACCAGTTTTTTTTTTGTTGGCGACGTTGAAGTTGCGACTTAAATAAGATTCTAAGTATGCGCTACCTGCGAATTTAAGTATGAAGCTTTCAACCGGTAAGGGACTGCCAACAGTTCAGTATCTGGCTGCGTTTACAGGTAATTTGGGGGGTGGTTTTGGATGGGGGTGGTGATTTTTAGTTAACACTTTTATAGGCACGTTGAATGTAATGTGCAGTGGAATGCACTATGGATGGTCATCGCCTTCGCTGCCGAAGCTTCTTCAGGACGACTCGCCGATTCCGATGACGAATGAGCAGAGCTCGTGGGTGGTGGTAACGTTCCTGTTGGGCACGTTTCTTGGTGCCAATCTCAGTGCCGTCATTCTCGATCGGTTTGGAAGAAAGGCGGCCATACTCTTCACGTCGGTGCCGTACTTAACGTCATGGACGCTAATCGCATTTGCACATTCGGCCACCATTCTCATGGTGGCGAGGTTTATCGCTGGTGTCGGTGATGGCGTAGTTTACTGTGCGTCCCCAATGTACTTGGGGGAGATCTCCGATCCGAGAATTCGCGGGTGCTTGGGTGCAGGAATATCGGTGATGAGCATAGCGGGGATGCTGCTGATGAACATCTTTGGTTCGTACTTGAGCGTACCAATGGCCGCGATGGTGGCGTCTTCCGTGCCCATTCTTCTTCTGCTCACCTTCACCTGGATGCCTGAAAGTCCGTACTACCTCATTATGCAGAAGAAGACCGAGCAGGCTAAGCGAAACTTGATGATCTTGAAGGGGGAGCGGGACGTGGACCAGGAGTTAAATCGACTGGTGAAGGCTGTGGAGGAGCAAAACTTGGGAAAAACGACCTTTTGGGATCTGTTCACCGTGAAGAGCAACCGAAAGGGCTTGCTGATAGTGATGGGCGCGCGGGCGGCCCAACAATTTACGGGGAGCACCGCCATCACCTTCTACGCGCAGACCATCTTCGCCGAAGCGGGTGCTGCTATCTCACCAAGCGCCGCCTCCATCCTCTACTTCACCATCCACATGATAGTCGTGGGATTATCCTCCGTAATCGTAGACAAAGCAGGACGCCGACCCCTGATGATCATCTCCGTCATCGGCTCCGGCATCGCTCTCCTAATCGAAGGCTGCTTTTTCTACGTCCAAAACCAAACCACAATCGACACCGCCAACTTCGCCTTTATCCCGATCGCCACTCTCGTCGTGTTCACCATCACCTTCAGCATCGGCATGCAGCCAATCCCCATGCTGCTAGTCGGCGAGGTCTTCCCAACGAACGTCAAAGCCATCGCTCTTACGGTCTGCTGCAATTACTTCGTCGCCGTCACCACCGTCGTCTCAAAATTCTTCCAGTACGCCAAGGACGCGTACGGCCTCCACGTGCCGTTCTTCGCGTTCACGATCAGCTGCGGCCTCAGCTTCCTGTTCATCGTGTTTTACATACCGGAAACCAAGGGGAAAACGCTCGAGGAGATCCAGGAGGAGCTGAAGGGTAAACCGCCGGTACCCGTCCTACCGGAGACCTACAGGCCGGTCAATTACATTTAATTAAACAATTCCAGCGTAAAGCGACGTATTTCTGTGATAAGTGCACTTAATTTATAAACGCGGTCGCCTTGTTGATTGGCACCGAGGAATTTTGTAATGGCATTAATAAAAATCGTTTTGGCTGAACCTTTATTGTGGCTCCTCGAGCTTCTTCACTGTCTTTTTTTTACTTCTTCAATTTCTTCACATTCCCCAAAACCGGATTCTTGCTCAATTTTCAAATTCTTTTGATTCCTCCGATTTCTTCGGAAACCTTTCAATTTCACTTTGGATTTTACAAATTTTTATAATCTTCATTTTTTAGAATCCTTCTGTTTTTTTCTCGCTTTCGTTTTTTTGGATTCACATTCTTCATCTTCCCACTTCGCACGTATTCTTCACGATTTCTGCACCCCCTCTCCACCTCTCCCTTTTTAGACCCTACTCTTACATCTTCTTCAGCGCTCATCGTCAATTTTTTCATGTACTATGCAGGTATTAATTGAATTCTTCTTCTTCTTAAAGACCTTCTTCTTCCGGAAAGGCTCTCTAAAATTCTTCAACGTCTTAAAGCGCTTTTGATTCTTCGATTTCTTTGTATTTTTCACATTTTTTTCAAATCCTTTGGCACTTCGAGACTGCTCTTCACACTGTACAATTGATTTAAATTCAAGCACATTTTTTAAAACCCTGGCATTTTCTTGATTCTTCCTATTTCTTCTAATTCTTTGACTTTTTCAAACTTTTTGAATTGAAACCAAAGTCGAGGAGGAGTCCTTAGCGCTGAACCTTTTGAGGCAGAACGTATTACGGGGGGAGGGGGAAGAATGAAATACTTCTCAGGAAGTAAGAATTTAGTATTATTCATGCTGAACACCAGGATTTTTGCAGAGTCCAGGAAAGAGACCTTAAGGCTGAATCTTTTGAGACAAAACGTATCAGTGGGGGGTATGGAACACCCTCCAGGAAAAAAGAACAAATTTCGCTGGAACTGCTTTAAGACCTTCACACCAGGATTTTTGCAAAAAGTCCAGGGAAGAACCCTTAAGGTGGACGAACTTTTTGAGACAGAACGTATTACCAGGGGATCGCCGGGGGGGGGGGGCCAAGGAAAGAGTCCTTAGGGCTGAATGTTTTGAAACAGAACGTACCACCGGGGACATGGGACGAGCTCGACATAATTCCAGACACAATACGCTGCAATGGCCTCAGTTTTAATGGAAAAATAGGGCCTCCCCATGCAAGGGAGTTCCTAAGATTTTTTTGTTTTTCCGATTGGCAATTGGGTAACAGATGGCGCGGTAGTCGACGATCGATGTTACTAATTAACTTAAAACAAAACGGGACACGAGACCGATGGAGTTGTTATTGTTTGCTATTTAATCTCATCACAGGTCATAAATTCGTTTAAAGTTTGATTGTTATCAATTAACAACAATTGATGGGGCGGAAAATTCTGTTTGCTGTGGAAAAATAAGATCGCGTGTCCCATTTGTTTATTCATTATCCTATCGGTTTGTAAATATTTGCACTTCGTGACTCAAATTACAAAAGGCTTAACCTGTTGCACAAACGACCTTCTCAAGGTAGGCAACGGACACCATCTCCGACCGGTTTTCGCGCCTCACGCGTGAATAACCTCTTCTTCCGCAGCTCGAAGTGGGCGTACAGTGAAAATATTTGTTATTAAACTTACTATAATTACAAGTAGTTTGTTACTATAAATAAATTTAAATTAGTACCAGTTGATGGAGCGTCTAACTGTACGGTGGCCGAGTTTGTAAGACTCGTGGCGTCTTACGTAATTAAAGAGCTGAAAGTCTACGTGAAGGTGCGACAAGCACCAGGTGCCCAAGTCAGCTGAGAGATAATAAAAAGAAATGTCTCATTGGTTTAATTACAACGCGTGACTACCAATTAATTCACGCTAAATTGTTACAATAATCACCCGTAATTAATAATAATTAATGCTTGGAATTATCACTTCTACTACGCTGCGATCAAGAATGATGGACTGGGTAGACGTGCCAAAATTTACTAGACAAGAGAAAGCTAGGAAATACGTCCTGGACTCCTAGATCATGCAAATTGTGTAACAAGAAGATACTGGGAGATGTAGGTATTTATAGGCATTTCAGTCAATCATTCCTGAACACACTGTACGTCAGTATTACCATAGGTAAAAAGAGGAAGAAAGAAAGACTGCGAGTATATTCTCAAAGTATCTATATACTTTCTCATTTTTTTGAGAATTTGTTCAGACGTTATACGGGAGTTCGACATAAGCAAAAATCAGCAAATTAGTACTCGAAGCGACAAATTGAGTGTCAATTGTGCCAAACCACCCCGTATCTCTGTATCAGCGCAAATGAATTGTTTTAGAGCAATCTCTACACTAACGCCGTGAGAGCCAAACGCGAGTTCAATATAAATTAAGCGAGAATCAGCAAAATGGTACAGAAAGCGATAACATGAGTGTCATTTGTGCCGAACTCACCTTCGGTTCGCTCGGCAATTGCATAAATGGTTGATTCCTACACTAATGTCGAGCGAGCCGAAGGCGAGTTCGGCATAAATCAAGCAACAATCAGCAAATTCGTATTTCAAACAACAAAATGAGTGTCATTTGTGCCGAACTCACCTCCTGTTAGCTCGTCATTAGTATAGATAAACCGTTTTAAGCAACTTCTACACAAATGCCGGGGGAACCCAAGGAAAGTTCAGCATAAATCAAGCAAAATTCAGCAAATTTGTATTCTAAGCGACAAAATGAGTGTCAATTGTACTGACCTCACACCCCCGGTTCACCAGGCAATTGCAGACATCAACCATTTTTGATAATTCTTACACCAATGACGAACGAACCAAAGGTGAGTTCGGCATAAGTCAAGCAAATATTAGCAAATGCGTATTCAAAGCGACAAGATGATTGTCATTTGGGCAATTGCATACATCAACAGTTTTACTTAATTGGTACACTAATCCCGGGCGAGCCGAAGGTAAGTTCGGAATAGATCAAGCAAATTTCAGCAAATTAATATTCAAAGCGACAAGATGAGTGTCATTTGTGCCGAGCGCGCCTCCGGTTCGTTTGGCATTACCCTAGATTAACCGTTTTAAATAATTCGTACATCAACGCCGAGCCAGCCAAAGGCGAGTTCGACATAAATCAAGCAAAAATCAGCAAATTCGTATTCCAAGCGCCAAGATGATTGTCATTTGTGCCGAACTCACCTTCGGTTCGCTCGGCATTAGCATAGATTAACCGTTTTCAGTAATTCCTACACCAACGCCGAGTGAGTCAAAGGCGAGATCGGCATAAATCAAGCAAAACTCGGCGAACTGAGGTAAGAGAATAAATCAACAGGCTTTTTCATTATATTAGAGTAATCTTTATATGGAAAATTTCGTATCCCCCCTTTCGAAGCACACGTCCGCGATTTGCTTAAAACTTTCCCTTCGTTTCACGTCGCACTTAAACTCGTCCTGTATTTGCTCCAAAGTCTTGCCCTTAGTTTCCGGAACGAAGAACAAGATAAAGAAAAGACCTGCAGCGCAGCACACCGAAAACGAGAAGAACGGAACGTGCATCCCGTAGTGATCCTTCATCGCTTGGAAAAACTTGGATACGAGCGTGGCGACCACGTTGAAGTAGATGTCGGCGAGGCCCAAGGCGAAGGCCTTGACGTTGGTGGGAAAGAGTTCGCCCAAGATAAGTATGGGAATGCTCTGTAAGCCGATGCCGTAGAGTACGACGAATCCGATTAGAGCGGCCACCGGAATGTAGGAGAATCGGGAGACGTCGAGGGAGGGGTGATCGGATTTGAGGTAAAAGTAGAGGCCTTCGAGGAGCAGGGCGGCTCCGGATCCAATGACGGAAACGATTAGCAGCGGTCTTCGGCCTGTGCGGTCCATTACCAGCGAAGCTGTGGAGGCGACTATCAGTTGAACCGAGAAGTAGATTATGGTTGCTGTAGTTGACGAAATCTCATCACTGGCTTTCTTGAAGATGGTGTTCGCGTAGAAGGTGAACGCCAAGGCACCGCTGCACTGCTGAATTGCGCGCGTTCCCATCACTATTAGAAGCGCCCTTCGGTTACTGCCGACGGTGAAGAGGTCGAGGAACTTTCCGGTGTTAGTGTTTTGGAGCTGCACCGCGTTGAAGAGCCTCCCCAATTCGTCCTCAACAATTCGGGAGCGTTTGAAGATCCTCAGGCTCTCCTTCGCTTCATTCACTCGGCCCTTCATGATTAGGTAGTAGGGACTTTCGGGCATCCACACGAACGTCGCCGCGAGGACCACGGGGAAAACCGAAGATATGAGTGCGGCGACCTTAATGCTGGTGTACGCACCGATAATGTTAATGAGCAGCATTCCGAAGATCCACATGATCGAGCAGCTCGACCCTAGCAACCCCCTGATCTTGGCGTCGGCGATTTCGCCCAAGTACATCGGCACGGAGCAAAAGGCGAGACCGTCCCCGATTCCGGCGATGAATCTCGCTACCAGTAGCACCCAAACCGACTTCGCGTAGGCCACCATCAACCACGAGGCGAAGAACGGTGCGGCCGTTAACAGTACCCCCCTCTTGCGACCGATCACGTCGAGAATGAACCAGCTGAAGATGGCCCCGAGGGTCGCGCCACCCAGCGGAGCGACGGCCATCCACGACCCCTCGTCGTCGGTGACCGGCAGCGTGGAATTGGGATGCTGCAACTGAGGAAGCGAGGGAGACGTCCACCCGTAGTGCATTCCACTCGACACGATACTCAGCGTGCCTAAACTATGGACGATGAGTCTTGCGACGAACGCCAATGATTCTCACCTGTAAGCATCGCCAGGTATTGGTAGATCGGGAACGGTTCTTCTTTGCGACAGAGCGCTGAAAATATCATCTTGCCAAAGAGAACGAATTCGAAACCTTTCCGATGGAGATCAAGGTCTGAAGTGTACCCGTCTTACGCGCCTGTTTCGGGCAATTAGGATCACAGATGAATCGGAACGTAATCGTCGAAACTTTTTATCGTTGATTTTGCAATTGGCGTTACGTGTATATTGTAGTGCGAGATTGATCATTCATTAAACACAAGATTTTCCACAGTGACGTTATCTTCGTGTAAATGTTATATAAATAAATAAACAATTAAATTTAACCAGAGCTCACATTCAAACACAATTCAATTTAATGTTTGAGTAGCGAAATCTCTCGGCTCTAAACTATGATCTGAATTACACCAAACTCGATCACAAATTGGTCCTTGCAACCGAATAGATCATTGCATTTCTATATCTTTTTGTATTTATCCCGTTTCAACTGCGTCGCATCTTATTGATAAATCATTCAAGTTTTGTTTACGTGTCTTCGTAGTTTCTTCAAACTCCCACTCACCCCCCCCCCCCCTTCTACACGCCGCGTTCTTAATTACATCGATGAATACATCACCCCCCTTTCAGAATGCATTTTGCATCACGTTGAAAGCCAACTGCCGCCGAACTCGCTCTCGGCTACAAGCGAGCTGAAGGCGAATTCGACATAAATGAAGCAAACAACAGCAAATTTGTTCTCAAAGCGAAATAGTGACCGTCATTTATGCCCAACTTACCCTCGGCTGGCTCGCCATCAGCATAGATGAACGGTTTAAAAAATGTTTACACCAATGCCAAGCGATCCGAAAGCGAGTTCGGCATAAATCAAGCAAAGAGCAGCAAATTCGTTCTCAAAGCAAAATAGTGAGAGCCATATGTGCCGAACTCACCTTCGGTTCGCTCGACATCAGCAGGGATGGACAGTTTAAAGAAATTTCTACACCAATGCCGAGCGATCCGAAAGCGAGTTCGGCATAAATCAAGCAAAGAGCAGCAAATTCGTGTTCAAAGCGACAAAATGAGTATCATTTATGTCGAACTCGCCTTCAGTTTGCTCGAAATTAGGATAGATTAATAGTTTTAAGTAATTCCTACATCAATGCCGAGCGAACCGAAGACGAGTTCGGCATAAATCAAGCAAACAACAGCAAATTAGTTCTCAAAGCAAAATAGTGAGAGCCATATGTGCCGAACTCGCCTTCGGTTCGCTCGACATCAGCAGGGATGGACAGTTTAAAGAAATTTCTACACGAATGGCGAGCGATCCGAAGGCGAGTTCGGCATAAATCAAGCAAAGAGCAGCAAATTCGTTCTCAAAGCAAAATGAGAGCCATTTATGTCCGAACTCGCCTTCGGTTCGCTCGAAATCAGCAGGATGGACAGTTTAAGTAATTCCTACATCATTGCCGAGCGATCCGAAAGCGAGTTCGGCATAAATCAAGCAAAGAGCAGCAAATTCGTTCTCAAAGCAAAATAGTGAGAGCCATTTGTGCCGAACTCATCTTCGGTTCGCTCGGCATCAGCAGGGATGGACAGTTTAAAGAAATTTCTACACGAATGGCGAGCGATCCGAAAGCGAGTTCGGCATAAATCAAGCAAAGAGCAGCAAATTCGTGTTCAAAGCGACAAAATGAGTATCATTTATGTCGAACTCGCCTTCAGTTTGCTCGAAATTAGGATAGATTAATAGTTTTAAGTAATTCCTACATCATTGCCGAGCGATCCGAAAGCGAGTTCGGCATAAATCAAGCAAAGAGCAGCAAATTCGTTCTCAAAGCAAAATAGTGAGAGCCATATGTGCCGAACTCACCTTCGGTTCGCTCGACATCAGCAGGGATGGACAGTTTAAAGAAATTTCTACACCAATGCCGAGCGATCCGAAAGCGAGTTCGGCATAAATCAAGCAAAGAGCAGCAAATTCGTGTTCAAAGCGACAAAATGAGTATCATTTATGTCGAACTCGCCTTCAGTTTGCTCGAAATTAGGATAGATTAATAGTTTTAAGTAATTCCTACATCAATGCCGAGCGAGCCGAAGACGAGTTCGGCATAAATCAAGCAAACAACAGCAAATTAGTTCTCAAAGCAAAATAGTGAGAGCCATATGTGCCGAACTCATCTTCGGTTCGCTCGGCATCAGCAGGGATGGACAGTTTAAAGAAATTTCTACACGAATGGCGAGCGATCCGAAGGCGAGTTCGGCATAAATCAAGCAAAGAGCAGCAAATTCGTTCTCAAAGCAAAATAGTGAGAGCCATTTGTGCCGAACTCATCTTCGGTTCGCTCGGCATCAGCAGGGATGGACAGTTTAAAGAAATTTCTACACGAATGGCGAGCGATCCGAAGGCGAGTTCGGCATAAATCAAGCAAAGAGCAGCAAATTCGTTCTCAAAGCAAAATAGTGAGAGCCATATGTGCCGAACTCACCTTCGGTTCGCTCGACATCAGCAGGGATGTACAGTTTAAGGAAATTTCTACACCAATGCCGAGCGATCCGAAAGCGAGTTCGGCATAAATCAAGCAAAGAGCAGCAAATTCGTTTCAAAGCAAAAATGAGATCATATGTGCCGAACTCGCCTTCGGTTCGCTCGAAATCAGCAGGGATGGACAGTTTAATGAATTTCTACACCAATGCCGAGCGATCCGAAAGCGAGTTCGGCATAAATCAAGCAAAGAGCAGCAAATTCGTTCTCAAAGCAAAATAGTGAGAGCCATATGTGCCGAACTCACCTTCGGTTCGCTCGACATCAGCAGGGATGGACAGTTTAATGAAATTTCTACACCAATGCCGAGTGATTCGAAGGCGAGTTCGGCATAAATCAAGCAAAGAGCAGCAAATTCGTGTTCAAAGCGACAAAATGAGTATCATCTATGCCGAACTCACCTTCGGTTCGTTCGCCATTAGCAAAGATGATGAATTTTGAGAAATTCCAACGTCCCCTGTTCCTGGGGTCACTTTCTTTTACCACCTCATTTTGACTCGGATCTTCCGCAAAGGCTGTAATTTTTATGGTTCTGCTAAAGGTCCCGAAGATGACAATTTTCGAAAAATTTTTGCTGCGTTCGAGCAATCCGTTTCTTCTAAGATATGAGACATGTTAATAATTGAAATTAATTCATCTGTCACACAAATTAACATCTTAATTAAGCCTAATCAAGCCGAAACTCGTGCACATCAATGAAAAACAAAACAACGTCGACCTTGGTTCCCGGAGGAACGAAACATATTTCAAGTGATCGTCACAGTTACATCTGCAGACTCGGCGCAATGAAGAAGCTCGCGGTGCCGATCTATCAGTATTTAGCGATGATGTCAGGTGAGTGGCTTTACTCTCTGGAGGTGTGGGATCAATTTCGTTTTAGGCACGCTGAGTATCGTATCGAGCGGGATGCACTACGGGTGGACCTCGCCCTCTCTTCCGCAGCTGGAGCACGCCAACTCCTCGCTGCCGGTGACCAAGGAGGAGGGCTCGTGGATGGCCGTGACGCCGCTGGCCGGCGCGACCGTTGGGGCGATTTTGAGCGGGTTTGTTCTGGACGTAATCGGGCGGAAGAGGGGGGTATTGTTAACGGCACTGCCTTTCTTCGGGTCGTGGCTCATGGTGGCGTACGCGAAATCGGTCGCGGTTCTGCTGGCGGCGAGATTCGTGGCGGGTATCGCCGACGGTTGCGCCTTTTGCTCCGTGCCGATGTACTTGGGCGAAATCGCCGACGCCAAGATCAGGGGGTTGCTAGTGTCGAGCTGCTCGATCATGTGGATCTTTGGAATGTTGCTGATTAACATTATCGGGGCGTACACCAGCATTAAGGTCGCCGCACTCATATCTTCGGTTTTCCCCGTGGTTCTCGCGGCGACGTTCGTGTGGATGCCCGAAAGCCCTTACTATCTAATCATCAAGGGGCGATTAGACGAAGCCAGGCGGAGTTTGAGAATCTTCAAGGGAGTCTATGAGGTGGATGATGAACTGGCGAGACTCTCCGTCGCGGTCAAGATGCAGAACAGCAACACCGGGAAGTTCTTGGATCTCTTCACCGTGAGCAGCAATAGGAAAGCCGTCTTTGTGATTATGGGAATGCGTGGTTTTCAGCAGTGCAGTGGAGTGTTAGCGATCACTTTCTACGCGAAGAGTATCTTCCAAAGTGCCAGCAGCGATCTTTCGTCGTCTACATCCGCCATTATTTACTTTGCGGCCCAATTAATCGTGGCGTCTACGTCTACACTAATAATGGATCGCACTGGACGACGACCCCTGCTGATCGTCTCCTCAATTGGAGCCGCGTTCGCCTTGCTCATCGAAGGTCTGTACTTCTACCTAAAAACCCATCATCCCGTCCTGAAGAATTCCCCCTACTCCTACATTTCGGTCGCGGCCCTCATCGGATACATCGTTTTGTTCGGAATCGGCATGCAGACCATTCCGATCCTTTTGCTGGGCGAACTCTTTCCCACCAACGTCAAGGCGTTCGCGTTGGGACTTGCGGACATCTACTTCAGCATAGTCGCCACCATAGTCTCGAAGTTCTTCCAAGTGATGAGGGACAATTACGGCATGCACGTGCCGTTCTTCGCGTTTACGGGGTGCTGCGCCCTCGGTGCCCTGTTTGTAATATTCTTTGTGCCCGAAACAAAAGGGAAGACCTTGGAGGAGATACACGAAGAGTTTAAGGGCGAGGAACAACACAAGGACACGTTCAAGTACTTTCCCGAAGAATAAATTTAGTAGACCATGTTAAGTGATTGTAATTAATTGAATTTAATTATGTTGATCTGTTTATTGGTCTCACATTCCTCAATTGGGAACAGGAGGCCCGACCCCGAATGCTAATTTCGGTTCAATTTCCTCCCTCTTTTCGGTCTCTTCGACATTCATCCCTGTAGGCGAATCGTAAAGGCTTTCACAGACTCTAACAAGCCACCAGAATTTTTCAGTCTTCCAATTCTTCAAATCTGCTACATTCTTGAGGGATTTTCTGTTTCTTCTAATCCTTCAAGTTCTATCAGGTTCCTGGGGCTTTTTTGTATCTTCAAATGTTTGAGATTTATAAGATCCTTGAGAGACTTCAGATTCTTCACATGCTTAATGGTTCCACAAACACAAAAAAACCTCATTCATTGGAGAGGGGGGGGGGGGGGGATGAATAGAATATCGTTCAAGAAAGAAAAATTTAATGATTTCCCATAATAAACCCCTCGGTGAAGTGTACCTCCGAACCTGAAAACATCCTTCATTATAGGAGAGGAGGGGGGGGGGGATACGATCTTAAGTACCGATGACGAAAAATTCAATAGTTTCCCAAAAAACACTCGGTGAAGTAATAATAATAACAATAATGTTTATTCAATCCCGTTACGAGATAAAAATGTATAGGACAAAGTAGTTAGTGTCCCCGTAAACCTGAAAACCGCATTTTCCTTTGAGGGAAAACATCCCCGGGAATTTGAGGGCACCTCCAAAAAATGAAAAAGGTACTGAAATTCAGGGATCACGGTAGGGTACTGCCCTTGAACATGATTGTGTAAGTGTTGGAAGTGTGTGCAGGTTTTGGAAAAAAACCGTAGCACCGGTGGGGGGGGGGGCTGAATTTGTTGGAAGGGGGGTTGTTGGAACTATTGAATTATCCTCCAAGAACGAAATATCCAATGGTTACCCAAAAACCACTCGGTGAATCTGAAAACCTCCTTGATTGTACTGAGGACGGGGAGTATTCCATACTCAATACCCAGAGTAAATAAATACAGTTCTCAGATTCAGGGGGAAAACTGAGTTCACCGAGGGGTTTGTAGGGAACCATTCAATGAAATGTCCTCCAGGAGGGCAAAATTCAATGGTTTCCCAAAAACCCCTCGGTGAAGTTTTCCCCCCGAAACTGAAAACCTCCTTCATTGTACTCCCCCCAGAGATACGATCTTAAGTGCTGAAAAAAGTTGTACACGTTATGAGGGAAAGCATCCTCCAGAAAATGAGGAAGGTACTCAAACTCAGGGATAACCGTTTGGGGGTTTGACCCGTAAACATGATCGTCTAAGTGTTGAAGGGTGGCAGGTTTTGGAAAAAAGCAGCAGCGGGAGGTCGGGGGGGGGGGGGGAGTATTCTCAAGGGAGTTCTCAAATTCGGGTGAAAAGTTGAATTCGCCGAGGGGATTGTGGGGAACCCCTGTATCTGAAATATTCCAAAACCACGCGGTGTAGCAATCTTCAAAACGTGTTCAACACTCAACCGTGTAAGTGCTGAGGGTTGTACACTTTTTGAGGGAAAACATCCTCGGGGGAGTTTGAGGGTACCTCCAGAAAATGGAGAAGGTACTCAAATTTAGGGTTTACGGAAGGGTTTGTCCCATAAACGTGATCGTGTAAGTGTTGCGTACAAGTTTTGGAAAAAACGTACCACCGGGGGGTGTGAGAGGTATGGAATACCCCCCAGTCAATAACCAGAATGAATAAAGAGAATTCTCAGATGAAGGGGGAAAGCTGAGTTCACCGAAAGGTTTGTAGGGAGCCATTAAATTGAATATCCTCCATGAATGCAAAATTCAATGGTTCCACAAAAACCCCCCGGTGAAGATCTCCCCCTGAATTTGAGAACCTCCTTCATTGTACTGGGCAGTATTACATACTCCTCAGACTCCCCGATAATACGACATTAAGTGCTGAGGGTTGTACACGTTATGAGGAAAAACATCCAAGAGAGCCTGAGGGTACCCCCAGAAAATGAAGAAGGTACTTAAATTCAGGGGTCACGGAAGGGCTTGTCCTTTAAACATGATCGTGCAAGGGTGTACACTGTACCCCCCCCCCCCCCCGTGAATACCACCAGTAAATAGTTCCCAGATTCAGGGAGAAAGCTGAATGCGCGAGGAGTTTGTGGGTACCATTGAATGGATTATCGTCCAAGAACGAAAAATTCAATGGTTTCCCAAAAACCCATCGGTAAAGGGGGGAGGGGGGTTGTTACGCACTTTTTCAAAACGTGCGCAGCCTTTAACCTTGTCGGTGATGAACATTGTATACGTTTTGAGGAAAAACATCCCCTGGAGTCCCAGGGGTACCTCCAGAAAATGAAAAAGGTGCTCAAATTCAGGGGACACCGAGAGGTTTGCCCTTCAATGTGATCGTGCAAGTATTGAATGAAGGGTGTGCATGGTTTGGGACCCCCCCCCCACCCCCACTAAATACGACGAGTAAATAAAATTATCAAATGCCGAATTCACTGAGGGGTTTGTAGGGAACCATTAAATGGAATATCCTCCAGGAAAGCAAAATCCAATGATTCCCAATCCCCCCTCCTCTGAATCGGAGAACCTCCTTCATTGTACGGGGAGGGGGGATTACTTACCGCCGGGTGATACGATCTTATGTGCCGAAGGTTGTACACGTTATGAGGGAAAGCATCCCCGTGAGTCTGAGGGTACCCCCAGAAAATGAAGAAGGTACTCAAATTCAAGGGTCACGGAAAGGTTTGTCCCTTAAACAAGATAGCACCGGGGGTGTGGGCGGCATGACTTCAGACTTCGGGAAAGCAACATTCAATGGTTCCCGAAAAACCCTTTGACGAAGTGTCCCTCTAAATTTGAAAACCATTCCATGATCCCCGGGTCTTGGGGTACCTACAGCCTACAGAAAATGAAGAAGATGGTCTTCAAATTCAGGGGTTAGCGAGGGGTTTGTCCCTTAAACATTATCGTGTAAGTACTGAAGGTTTTACAGGTTTTGAAAGAAAAGGTAGCACCGAGGAGCTGGGGGTTTTGGAATATTCCCACTCAATACCCAGAGTAAAGAAAGAGTTCTCAGATTCAGGGGGCAGTTGAATTCATCGAGGGGTTTGTGGTTAACTTTTGAATAGAATATCGTCCAAGAAGGAGGAATTCAAAGGTTTCCCAAACAAATGTTTCTTTAAATTCTTCCAATTCTGGATATTCTTCAGATTCGTAGGGCTCTTCTGTTTCTTCAGTTTTTTGAATTCTTTAAATTTTTCGTATTAATGCATCTTTCAACTATCATCCGTCTCTTTCAATTCTGCCGATTCCTCAAATTCTTCGGACTTTTGACCAACTTCAGATTCTTCAAATCTTTAACCAGATTCTATTTCTGTTTCTTTAAATTTTTCATATTTATGAAATCCTTCCATATTCTTTCGTTTTTTTGAATTCTTCTGATTTTTTGCTCCCTTTTCCTTCATATCTCGTTACCGTCTACACCACAACTCATCGTTTTACATATATTCACCTTGCCCCAGCTGTAGTATCTCACACTACTCTTACGGCATCTTCAAACTTTCTTTAGATCTTCCTCTTAACGTTCTCTCTCTCCATGTTTGTTCATGTATTTTCGCGCGTCCTTTACGCTTCTCTTGGGCCTTTATCCTCCCATTTGTGCTTCTCAAGCGTACTTTGCGCTTTATATTCACTAATTTTCGAGATCTTCATTTTTTCCGTCTTTTTCTTCTTGAAATATCTCACCAAACTGTCCCCTACGGCCCCCATTGAAAGTGCGTCCTTCTAATGTGGCGCCATTACTATTCTCGTAACGCACACAATGGTCGGGTGACATAACAAGCGCGATGATAACGAGCTGACGAAAGGAGCACCTTTTTGACCTACTAATCTAGTCGTATAGCAATACCACTTCTGCACCCAATGTCACCTTACATAGTCGGCGTGCGTCGGTCCGTCGGTACCGCAGCGGGGAGCCCATTCGTGCCGCAATGATACTCGACTTGAAATGGGCGCGAGGAGGGCGCGTCTATCAATATTTAGCGATGCTGACAGGTATGGTTAGATTTCGATATGTAAAATAAGTTACTCTCAGGCAAAAAGTGTCGGACACCCCGAGTCGACCAGGTATTTCTAATTGATTTAGGATCAAATTTCCATTCGGCTCACTAATGTTCACTATACATATTAATTAATTAAACGTTGCCGCATAATAAAAGCGACACATAATTAAATTTGGTGTGTAATTACTAATTTGCAATTAAAACTAGGTAGCTACACTTAAATCAAGCCATAGAATCTCTGTGGTTTAATTAATGTTGCCTATAATTAAGCGTTGCATTGCCCTTGAAGAAAAGAGAGCGCCTAAAAATGGGAAACAAAGCGCGCAGTTCTAATTATGTAAAATTACTCGCGGAGAAATTCGATATACTAATTTCAATTTAATTTAATTAAGCGCGCAGCTCTACCGTTGTAATGAACCGCACCGAGTAATTAAGCGCACTAATTAATTGTCCGGTGGCGTATCTCTAAAGAAATAACGAAATAATTTACCGCAGTGAGTAATTTCATTTAATTAATCAGCTAACAATTGCATTTAACATTAATTTGCTCGAAATTAGAATTTTAATTAACATTAATTGCAATTGTTGGTGGTTCTAACACAAAATTTCGAAATTAGACCCTGGTCGTAATTAGTACTAAATTATTTCAAATTGCAGGTACTTTATGCATCGTATCCAGCGGAATGCACTACGGATGGTCCTCCCCTTCGCTGCCCCAGCTGCAGCACCCTAACTCGACGCTCCCGGTGACGAACGAGGAGGGCTCCTGGTTGGCGGTGATGCCGCTGTTCGGTGCGTCCATCGGTTCTCTCTTCAGCATCGTGACGCTAGACCGCATCGGTCGAAAGAAAGCGATTCTGCTCTGCGGCATCCCGTCCTTCGCCGCCTGGATCATGGTCGCCACGGCGGACACGGTCACCACGCTGATGTTCGCGAGGATCGTCGCCGGATTCGGCGACGGCCTCTCCTTCTGCGCGATCCCGATGTACCTCAACGAAATCGCCGATCCCGAGGTGCGCGGGTTTCTCGGGTCGAGCTGCGCGACCGCGCTAATTTTGGGGATGCTGCTGATCAGCGTCGTCGGCTCGTACGCGAGCATAACCTGCGCCGCGCTGGTGTGCTCGGTGGCGCCACTGCTGCTCCTGGTGACCTTCCCGTGGATGCCCGAAAGTCCCTACTACCTGATCATGCGAGGACGCGAGGCGGATGCGGCGAGAAGCTTGAGGATCTTCAGAGGCACCTTCGATGTCGACGACGAACTGAGACGACTCTCCGCCGCAATCAAAATTCAGAATTTGGACACCGGGAAATTTCTCGACCTCTTCACCGTGAAGGGCAGTCGAAGGGCCGGGATAATTGCGATGGGAATGCAGACCATTCAACAGTGCAGCGGCATGATGGCGATTGCGTTCTATGCGCACACCATTTTTGAGAGCGCCGGGAGCGCTTTCTCGCCGGTCACGGCCGCCATCATTTACTTCACGCTCCAGGTGGTGTTTTCCGTTGTATCCTCCATGATCATGGATCGAACCGGAAGGAGACCACTGTTGGTCATTTCCATAGTCGGCGCGGGACTGTCTCTGTTCGTCGAAGGCCTCTACTTCTACCTCAAGTGCGATTACCCCTACGTACCCGTCCTGGCGTTAATTGCGTTCGTCGTTCACTTCAGCCTGGGACTCCAGACGATACCGACGTTACTCCTGGGCGAGCTCTTCTCCACGAACGTGAAGGCGTTCGCGCTGAGCCTCTCCGATGTTCATTTCAACCTCGTCGCCATTCTCGTCTCCAAGTTCTTCCAGGCGGTCAAGGATAGCTACGGAATGCACATTCCATTTTTCGCGTTCAGCGCGTCGTGCGTCGCCGGGCTCGTCTTCGTTTTGCGCTACGTGCCGGAAACGAAGGGCAAGACTTTGGAGGAGATCCAGGACGAGCTGCGCGGAAGAGCTCGAGCTGACGATAGCAGGCAGGTTGAAACTTTGCGGAAGATCGTCGCCGAAACAATTGATATATGCAATAACGTACAAAAATAAAAAGCGCCACAACCTACTTTATTCTGTAACAGTGGATGCCGTTTGGGTCCGATAATGGGATAATGGGATGGGCATTCGCTTTCGGAATGTACGGCATGAAAGTAATTTTTAAACAAGTGATAGTCGTAAAAGCAGTGCCGACCGAAAAGAAGACGAGGTCGGCACAACCCCTAGTCATGGTAGGTAACCAACTAATGGGGTAAGTCAATTTGTGCCTTGTTCAGCTTAGCTTGCGCCGTGGAACTCGCCTTCATAATTGGCCGCGTGCCAGAGACCAAAAGGGAAAACCTTGGAGGAAATTCCGGAGCGGCTTCAGGGAAAAAAAGCTGGTGGACGAACAGAAGCGATGTGATTGCAACTAATTTAAGTTGTAATTAGGCGAACTAATTAATTTTGCCTCAAAAACTTAAATCTCTTGTAATTTTGAACAATCCAAGACTGCAGTGAAACTAATCCCAAGAATTTTAACTAAATTAAGTTGTAATTGAGCGCACTAATTAATTAGAGTTTGCAAAGGAACCCCATTACCGTCCGAAACGAGAGAACAATACAAGGCCCGACGTATTTTGCTTGGAATTAATTAAGCCAATTAGAAACTTATTCGGAATTCCTTTGAGATTGTACTCTTAATTGATCTAATTAGCTCTTCAATGGGACGCTGAAGAGATTGACCTTGATACTACTGTAGCCGAAGAGTTCGTTATCTAGTAAACTGGTCGTCTCACGCAAGGCGCGTGCAATTAAAATTTGGACTCTTCGCCATAACGCATTCAGTCATTGACAAAAACGCCGACGGTCCGCTCTCGCTAATCGTTTGTCGTACGCGTCCCGGTTAAGAAGTGCAATCATGAAGCTCGGCGCCGGATTCGGCGAAAAATCGTCGGCGCACACCTTTCAGTACTTGGCGATGGTTACAGGTAGGATTTTTTGTTCAATTTTGTTATTTACTGTTTGCTGACCGCCTGTTTAAATTTGGTTAAACTTTGACCAAAGTAAATAGTGATTGTTATCGGACTTGGAGAAACTTTAAATATTTGTCGCGATTTCGTTTCGGGAAATTGGGCAGAGGCGAGATGAAAACAATTAGCGCTAAATGTCAGTGATCTCGTTACCGGTTCGAATTATTTAAGTATCACAATTAGCAGTTGGTCCTAACTTCCCGCTTTCTTATTTGTTGGTTTAATGCAATTTGACTCGCCCATAATAGTCACAATTACCGAAAAGCGAAAGAACTATCAAAATTGGTCCTTCAAGCCTAATCAATTTGGTACCGCAGCAAAACCAGCACAAGGGCGAGTGTTAGTAGGGAGAAAACCGAGTCAAATGAAGAAAAGCACACTGCACCATCGTATTCCCTTTTCATGCAGTTTTTTTTCACCGCGAGTGTAAACCAAGCTTTAGTAAGAGAGAGAAAATCGAGTCTGAAAAATCTATGCGCCAACGCAAAGCGCGATAGAGTTACGAAAACTGCGCGATAGAGTTACGAAAACTGCGCGAAATTCACTTTTCGTGCAGTTTCCGCTCTATAAGTGTAAAGCAGGCTTTAGTAAGAGAGAGAAAACCGAGTCCGATCACGAAAAAAATCTATGCGCCAATGCAAAGCGCGGTAGAGTTGCGAAAACTGCGCGAAATTCTCTTTTCGTGCAGCTTCCGCTCTACAGGTGTGAAGCAGGCTTTAATAAGAGAGAGAAAACCGAGTCCGATCACGAAAAAAATCTATGCGCCAACGCAAAGCGCGATAGAGTTACGAAAACTGCGCGAAATTAACTTTTCGTGCAGTTTCCGCTCTATAAGTGTAAAGCAGGCTTTAGTAAGAGAGAGAAAACCGAGTCCGATCACGAAAAAAATCTATGCGCCAACGCAAAGCGCGGTGGAGTTGCGAAAACTGCGCGAAATTCACTTTTCGTGCATTTTCTGCTCTACCAGTGTGAAGCAGGCTTTAGTAAGAGAGAGAAAACCGAATTCGATCACGAAAAAGAAACGATACGTCAACGCGGAGCGCGGTAGAATTGCAGAAACTACGCGAAATTCACTTTTCGTGCAGTTTCCGCTCTATAAGTGTAAAGCAGGCTTTAGTAAGAGAGAGAAAACCGAGTCCGATCACGAAAAAAATCTATGCGCCAACGCAAAGCGCGATAGAGTTACGAAAACTGCGCGATAGAGTTACGAAAACTGCGCGAAATTCACTTTTCGTGCAGTTTCCGCTCTATAAGTGTAAAGCAGGCTTTAGTAAGAGAGAGAAAACCGAGTCCGATCACGAAAAAAATCTATGCGCCAATGCAAAGCGCGGTAGAGTTGCGAAAACTGCGCGAAATTCTCTTTTCGTGCAGTTTCCGCTCTACAGGTGTGAAGCAGGCTTTAATAAGAGAGAGAAAACCGAGTCCGATCACGAAAAAAATCTATGCGCCAACGCAAAGCGCGATAGAGTTACGAAAACTGCGCGAAATTCACTTTTCGTGCAGTTTCCGCTCTATAAGTGTAAAGCAGGCTTTAGTAAGAGAGAGAAAACCGAGTCCGATCACGAAAAAAATCTATGCGCCAACGCAAAGCGCGGTAGAGTTGCGAAAACTGCGCGAAATTCACTTTTCGTGCATTTTCTGCTCTACCAGTGTGAAGCAGGCTTTAGTAAGAGAGAGAAAACCGAATTCGATCACGAAAAAGAAACGATACGTCAACGCGGAGCGCGGTAGAATTGCAGAAACTACGCGAAATTCACTTTTCGTGCAGTTTCCGCTCTATAAGTGTAAAGCAGGCTTTAGTAAGAGAGAGAAAACCGAGTCCGATCACGAAAAAAATCTATGCGCCAACGCAAAGCGCGATAGAGTTACGAAAACTGCGCGAAATTCACTTTTGTGCAGTTTCCGCTCTATAAGTGTAAAGCAGGCTTTAGTAAGAGAGAGAAAACCGAGTCCGATCACGAAAAAAATCTATGCGCCAACGCAAAGCGCGGTAGAGTTGCGAAAACTGCGCGAAATTCTCTTTTCGTGCAGCTTCCGCTCTACAGGTGTGAAGCAGGCTTTAATAAGAGAGAGAAAACCGAGTCCGATCACGAAAAAAATCTATGCGCCAACGCAAAGCGCGATAGAGTTACGAAAACTGCGCGAAATTCACTTTTCGTGCAGTTTCCGCTCTATAAGTGTAAAGCAGGCTTTAGTAAGAGAGAGAAAACCGAGTCCGATCACGAAAAAAATCTATGCGCCAATGCAAAGCGCGGTAGAGTTGCGAAAACTGCGCGAAATTCTCTTTTCGTGCAGCTTCCGCTCTACAGGTGTGAAGCAGGCTTTAATAAGAGAGAGAAAACCGAGTCCGATCACGAAAAAAATCTATGCGCCAACGCAAAGCGCGATAGAGTTACGAAAACTGCGCGAAATTCACTTTTCGTGCAGTTTCCGCTCTATAAGTGTAAAGCAGGCTTTAGTAAGAGAGAGAAAACCGAGTCCGATCACGAAAAAAATCTATGCGCCAACGCAAAGCGCGGTAGAGTTGCGAAAACTGCGCGAAATTCTCTTTTCGTGCAGCTTCCGCTCTACAGGTGTGAAGCAGGCTTTAATAAGAGAGAGAAAACCGAGTCCGATCACGAAAAAAATCTATGCGCCAACGCAAAGCGCGATAGAGTTACGAAAACTGCGCGAAATTCACTTTTCGTGCAGTTTCCGCTCTATAAGTGTAAAGCAGGCTTTAGTAAGAGAGAGAAAACCGAGTCCGATCACGAAAAAAATCTATGCGCCAACGCAAAGCGCGGTAGAGTTGCGAAAACTGCCGAAATTCTCTTTTCGTGCAGCTTCCGCTCTATAAGTGTGAAGCAGGCTTTAATAAGAGAGAGAAAACCGAGTCCGATCACGAAAAAGAAACGATACGTCAACGCGGAGCGCGGTAGAATTGCAGAAACTGCGCGAAATTCACTTTTCGTGCAGTTTCCGCTCTACCAGTGTGAAGGCAGGCTTTAATAAGAGAGAGAAAACCGAGTCCGATCACGAAAAAAATCTATGCGCCAACGCAAAGCGCGGTAGAGTTGCGAAAACTGCGCGAAATTCTCTTTTTGTGCAGTTTCCGCTCTACAGGTGTGAAGCAGGCTTTAATAAGAGAGAGAAAACCGAGTCCGATCACGAAAATGAAAGATACGTCAACGCGGAGCGCGGTAGAATTGCAGAAACTGCGCGAAATTCACTTTTCGTGCAGTTTCCGCTCTATAAGTGTAAAGCAGGCGAGTAAGAGAGAGAAAACCGAGTCCGATCACGAAAAAAATCTATGCGCCAACAAAGCGCGGTAGAGTTGCGAAAACTGCGCGAAATTCACTTTTCGTGCATTTTCTGCTCTACCAGTGTGAAGCAGGCTTTAGTAAGAGAGAGAAAACCGAATTCGATCACGAAAAAGAAACGATACGTCAACGCGGAGCGCGGTAGAATTGCAGAAACTACGCGAAATTCACTTTTCGTGCAGTTTCCGCTCTATAAGTGTAAAGCAGGCTTTAGTAAGAGAGAGAAAACCGAGTCCGATCACGAAAAAAATCTATGCGCCAACGCAAAGCGCGGTAGAGTTACGAAAACTGCGCGAAATTCTCTTTTCGTGCAGTTTCCGCTCTACAGGTGTGAAGCAGGCTTTAATAAGAGAGAGAAAACCGAGTCCGATCACGAAAAAAATCTATGCGCCAACGCAAAGCGCGGTAGAGTTACGAAAACTGCGCGAAATTCTCTTTTCGTGCAGTTTCCGCTCTACAAGTGTGAAGCAGGCTTTAATAAGAGAGAGAGAAAACCGAGTCCGATCACGAAAAAAATCTATGCGCCAACGCAAAGCGCGATAGAGTTACGAAAACTGCGCGAAATTCACTTTTCGTGCAGTTTCCGCTCTATAAGTGTAAAGCAGGCTTTAGTAAGAGAGAGAAAACCGAGTCCGATCACGAAAAAAATCTATGCGCCAACGCAAAGCGCGGTAGAGTTGCGAAAACTGCGCGAAATTCTCTTTTCGTGCAGTTTCCGCTCTACAGGTGTGAAGCAGGCTTTAACAAGAGAGAGAAAACCGAGTCCGATCACGAAAAAAATCTATGCGCCAACGCAAAGCGCGGTGGAGTTGCGAAAACTGCGCGAAATTCACTTTTCGTGCATTTTCTGCTCTACCAGTGTGAAGCAGGCTTTAGTAAGAGAGAGAAAACCGAATTCGATCACGAAAAAGAAACGATACGTCAACGCGGAGCGCGGTAGAATTGCAGAAACTACGCGAAATTCACTTTTCGTGCAGTTTCCGCTCTATAAGTGTAAAGCAGGCTTTAGTAAGAGAGAGAAAACCGAGTCCGATCACGAAAAAAATCTATGCGCCAACGCAAAGCGCGGTGGAGTTGCGAAAACTGCGCGAAATTCACTTTTCGTGCATTTTCTGCTCTACCAGTGTGAAGCAGGCTTTAGTAAGAGAGAGAAAACCGAATTCGATCACGAAAAAGAAACGATACGTCAACGCGGAGCGCGGTAGAATTGCAGAAACTACGCGAAATTCACTTTTCGTGCAGTTTCCGCTCTATAAGTGTAAAGCAGGCTTTAGTAAGAGAGAGAAAACCGAGTCCGATCACGAAAAAAATCTATGCGCCAACGCAAAGCGCGATAGAGTTACGAAAACTGCGCGAAATTCTCTTTTCGTGCAGTTTCCGCTCTACAAGTGTGAAGCAGGCTTTAGTAAGAGAGAGAAAACCGAGTCCGATCACGAAAAAAATCTATGCGCCAATGCAAAGCGCGGTAGAGTTGCGAAAACTGCGCGAAATTCTCTTTTCGTGCAGTTTCCGCTCTACAGGTGTGAAGCAGGCTTTAACAAGAGAGAGAAAACCGAGTCCGATCACGAAAAAAATCTATGCGCCAACGCAAAGCGCGGTAGAGTTGCGAAAACTGCGCGAAATTCACTTTTCGTGCAGTTTCCGCTCTACAGGTGTGAAGTAGGCTTTAGTAAGAGAGAGAAAACCGAATCCGGTCACGAAAAAGAAACGATACGTCAACGCGAAGCGCGGTAGAGTTGCGAAAACTGCGCGAAATTCACTTTTCGTGCAGTTTCCGCTCTACCAGTGTGAGGCAGGCTTTAATAAGAGAGAGAGAACCGAGTCCGATCACGAAAAATCTATGCGCCAACGCAAAGCGCGGTAGAGTTACGAAAACTGCGCGAAATTCTCTTTTCGTGCAGTTTCCGCTCTATAAGTGTAAAGCAGGCTTTAGTAAGAGAGAGAAAACCGAGTCCGATCACGAAAAAAATTTATGCGCCAACGCAAAGCGCGGTAGAGTTGGGAAAACTGCGCGAAATTCGCTTTTCATGCAGTTCTCGACCTGTAAGTGTAGAGTAGGCTTTATTAAGAGAGAGAAGACAGAGTCCGATCACGAAAAAAAACGATGCGCCAACGCTAAACGCGGTAGAGTTGGGAAAACTACGCGAAATTCACTTTTCGTGCAGTTTCCGCTCTACAAGTGTGAAGCAGGCTTTAACAAGAGAGAGAAAACCGAATTCGATCACGAAAAAGAAACGATACGTCAACGCAGAGCGCGGTAGAATTGCAAAAACCGCGCAAAATTCACTTTTCGTGCAGTTTCCGCTCTACAAGTGTATAGCAGGCTTTAGTAAGAGAGAGAAAACCTAGTCCGATCACGAAAAAAAAACGATACGTCAACGCGAAGCGCGGTAGAGTTGCAAAAACCGCGCAAAATTCACTTTTCGTGCAGTTTCCGCTCTACAAGTGTATAGCAGGCTTTAGTAAGAGAGAGAAAACCGAGTCCGATCACGAAAAAATCTATGCGCCAACGCAAAGCGCGGTACAGTTGGAAAAACTGCGCGAAATTCACTTTTCGTGCAGTTCTCGCCCTGTAAGTGTAGAGTAGGCTTTATTAAGTGAGAGAAGACCGAATCACAAAAAAAAAACAATCCGCCAACAGGAAGTCGGATAGAGTTCCAAAAACTACTCTACAGGCTCTACACTCGCTTATTTTGCAGTTTCCACACCGCAAGCCTGAAGCAGGCTTTAACAAAAGAGAGATCCTAATCCGATCACGATGGAGAACACGCGAGAAATTCAAAAACTCCGCGAAAAGCTCTACAGTGTTGTTTTCGTTCCGCGAGTGTAATTAACGCTGAGAGAGATCGCGAAGTTTTGCGAAAACGCCTAGGTACTCTAATTTATCGCTTATTTTATGTATCGAATTTAAGATCCGTTTTGATTGCGTGAACTTCGTGTAGCAATAATAAATGTGGGGTGGCGCTCCTCCTAGTCACTCAGTTTGGGAACGAAAGAAATGGCGCCAATGCACCCTTACATAGTCCGCTTCGCAGAGAACACCCGTTTACCTCTCAAAACTAGTATGGCTATGAATTCATAGTCATAATGACTTTTATGAGATCAACTGACGAATACCGCGAATGAGACGGTTCAGGGAATCATTGCAGCCAACCTTACGTAACCAAAATGAGGATCAGAGGTTAGTGACACCTCACTTGTTACATACGAAGATCAGCTAAAAATAGTCGATGATCTTCCTTTGAGTCACTATATTCACTATTCACTTTCCCCCACTGATAACATGCAGTATAAGAAAAAATCCTACCTTTATAAGGCTGCCCTTCCGGAATCTGGAACAAAAAAGTTAAGCGTCAGAGTTAGAATTCACTTGCTACGGACTGCTCAGCAAAAAAAAACGTTACAAAAACTTACCACTTAGCCTTATTAATTCAGGCACGCCCAGGAGGTGCCCGCTAGCACTCGTTTCCAAACGGGCATGGTGACCTGAAAAGAGAAATATTATGTATCAAAAAGGGCTTGACAACGGATACAGGCAATGTTGTGGGAGTTCAGGGCAAACTAGATTGGTGTATGCTGTACTCACCTCGTTTGGTTGAATTCAGTGCACTGGATTGCTGAAGAGATCCGATGTCATCCGTCAACTAGTAGACTCACTGGTGTTCGCTGTGGAAAATTGTTGGGATTAGTAAGTAGGCTTAGGTGCAAGCTCCACGTGTGCTTCGCCAATAACGCCGTGCAGATGTACAGCAACTTTCAATGTAACTATACAGGGTGGCCCACTGAATACAGTCAATAACAATTTTGCCAACTTAACAACAGTTTTGCCAGAAACCCTCGACACGTCAATTTTAGTTTCCTAGATTAAGTAATACTACTTACATAACTTTAACCCTGAGAAGGGGGTAAATTGCACCCCAAAAATTTTAAATGGGAAGGGGTAGTAAATGTTGGATATGTCGAAAGGAATGTTTATTATGTTTTCAGAACTGTTTTAAGTCCGATCAGTATAGTTCCAGTGAAAACTTGATTTAAATGGATTTGCAGAGCCGTTTTAAATGTTTATTAAGTAGGCGTTGAAGTTGAAATAATTGAGAGCTTGTGCCAGAAAAGAACATCTGACATAAGTGCACAAGCAAGGAAGCGAATTGTGAAGGCAGAATCGCCATTTTAAAAAAAACCGAAACAATTTCCACCCTTTGCGCTATAGTGTAAATCGTCATTGATTTTGAATTTACCACAAAATTAAACAAGTTAATTTAACACACTCACAAATTCGCTTCATTGCTTGTGCACCTATTGCACTTATGTCAGATGTTCATTTCTGACACAAGTTCTCAATTATTTCAACTTCAACGCCTACGTTGCAAATCTATTTAAATCGAGTTTTCTCTGGGACTACTGATCGGATTTAAAAAATAAAAACAGTTATGAAAACATAACCAACATTCCTTTTGACTTATCTAACATTTACTACCCCTTCCCAATTAAAATTTTTGGGGTGCAATTCGCCCCCTTCTCAGGGTTAAAGTTATGTAAGTAGTTTTACTTAATTTAGGTGTCCCCCTCAAAACTAAAATTGACGTGTTCGAGCGTTTCTGGCAAAACTGGCGTTAAGTGAGCAAAATTGGCATTGACTGTTTTCAATGGGCCACCCTGTATAATTGTGACGCGAAATTTTAGAGTAGAATGGATGGATCAAACAAAGTTTAATACCTCAAAAAAAAGTGAAGACATACCTTTCAGCTTGATCAATTCGGCCTGGACAAAGAAGAACCTTGAAGGCAGCAGAAACACGAACATGCGGGAGGGGGGGATGTCACTTCCTGGTCACCACTCGAGTCTAAATTCCATCACATGAAACAAAAATGCTCAACTTAAAACCTAAGAACAGTAAAGCATTAGGTAGAGTAAAGGTCTGATATGGTAACGTGTTCGAAATTAGCCTTGGATCGCTAGGCATTAATGCAGATCTATGCCTAGGTTTGTGCCTGGTTACAAATCTATCACTTTTGCGTTAAAATAAACCAGTGATTAAGTTTTCCCATAAAGGTGATAGCCTTGAGAGCAGTGCCGAGCGAGCGAAAGGCGAGTTCTACACAAACCTAGGTAGAGCAAAAGTATGCTGAGGTAAGTCAACTTGCGCCGAAATTGCCTTTGGATTGCTAGGCATTAATAAAGATCTGCGTCAAACTTTCAAAAAAGTTAACCAATTGGTTTACTTCATCAGACCTGTATTCTGCCTAGGTTTGTGTCGAACTCGCCATGGGCTCGCTCGCCACTGGTTATAAAAACATCACTTTTGAGTGCTTTTGACCCAATCGAAATTGGAATAAAAGTAATGGCTATGAGAGCAGTGCCGAGCGAGTCGAAGAAGAGCTCGGCACAAACCTAGGCAGAGTAATGGTCCGATAGGGTCAGTGCCAATATTACCGTTGGATCGCTAGGCATTAATATAGATTTGTTATTAGAATTCCAGACACACACTCTGCCTAGGTTTATGCCGGGCGCGCCTTCGGCTCGCTCAGCAGTCAACACTGGTTATAAAGCTATCACTTTAACGTGCCTTGCTGGCTAAATTGTCACGCAAAAGCGATAGATTGGAAAGCAGTGCCGAGCGAGCCGAAGGCGAGTTCGGCACAAACCTAGGCAATATAAAGGTCTGATGGTAAGTCAACTTGTGTCGAAATTGCCCTTGGGTCGCTAGGTATTGATAAAAATTTGTTATTAAACTTCCAAAGAAAGTGAACCAATTGAATTGCTCCATCAAACCTGTAGCCTGCCTAGGTTTATGCCGAACTCGCCTTTGGCTCGCTCAGCACTGGTTATAAAAGTACCACCGATAGCCTTGAGCGCTGCGACAAGCGAGCCAAAGGTGTGTTCGGCACAAACCTAGGCAGAGTAAAGTATGCTGAGGTAAGTCAACTTGCGCCGAAATTGCCTTTGGATCGCTAGGCATTAATAAAGATCTGTCATTAAATTTCCAAAAAGTGAACCAATTGCCTTGCTCCATCAGACCTGTACTCTGCCTAGGTTTTTGTCGAACTCGCCATCGGCTCGCTCGCCACTGGTTATAAAATCATCACTTTTGATTGCTTTTAACCGAATCGAAATTGAAATAAAAGTAATAGCTATGAGAGCAGTGCCGAGCGAGTCGAACTATAGCTCGGCAGAAACCTAGACAGAGTAACGGTCTGATAGGGTCAGTGCCAATATTACCGTTGGATCGCTAGGCATTAAAATAGATTTGTTATTAGAATTCCAGGCCCATACTGCCTAGGTTTGTCTCGGGCTCGCTGACTAAACTGTCACGCAAGAGCCATAGATTGGAAAGCAGGAAAAACCTAGGCAGAGTGTGGGCCTGGAATTCTAATAACAAATCTATATTAATGCCTAGCGTTCCAACGGTAATATTGGCACTGTCCCTATCAGACCATTACTCTGCCTAGGTTTCTGCCGAGCTCTTCTCATAGCTATTACTTTTATTTCCACCTAGGCAGAGTAAAGGTCTAACGAAAAAGTCAACTTGCAACAAAATTGCCCTTGGATCGCTAGATATTAATACAGATCTGTCATTAAATTTCCAAAAATTGAACCAATTGCGTTCCATAATCAGATCTCTACTCTGCCTAGGTTTGTGCCGAGCTTGCCTTTGATTCGTCCGGCCCTGGTTATAAAACTAGGTATCACTTTTCCGTTAAAAAAGGCCAGTGATTAAATTTCCGCATAAAAGTGATAGTTTTGGGAGTAGTGCCGAGCGAACCGAAGGCGAGTTCAGGACAAACCTAGGCAGAGCCTAATGGGGAAAGGCAACTTGTGACAAAATTGCTCTCGGGTCGCTAGCCATTAATACAGAACTGTCATTAAACTTCCGAAGGCGAGTTCGACACAAACCTAGGCAAAGTAAAAGTATGATGGGTAAGTCAACTTGCGCCGAAATTTGCCTTGAATCGCTAGGCATTGATAAAGATCTATGATTAAACTTCCAAAAAAGTGAACCAATTGACTTGCCCAATTAGAATATTACTCTGCCTAGGTTTGGGCGACCTTGCCTGCGGCTCGCACGGCACTGGTTATAAACATTATTAAAAATTTTGAGTGCCTTTGACTCGATCTAAATTATAGTAACAGTGATAACTTTGAGAGCAATGCCGAGTGTGCAGAAGACTGCTCGGCTCAAACCTAGGTATAGTGAAAGCAGGCGAGTTCGGCACAAATTTATGTAGAGGACAGGCCTGATGGGATAAGTCAACTTGTGTCGAAATTGTCCTTTGATAAAAATCTGTGATTAAACTTTCGAAAATACTGAACTAATTGGCTAAGTCCATCACACCTGCATTCTGGCCTAGGTTTGTGCCGCACTCGCCTACTCGATCGAAATTAAAATAAAAGTAATAGCTTTGAGAGCAGTGCCGCGCGAGTCAAAAATGAGTTCGACACAAACCTAGGCAGAAGAATTGCCGTTGGATCTCTAGGCATTGATGAATATCAGTGATAAAACATTCAAAAAGTGGACCAATTGACTTATCCCATTAGAAATTGTCACGCAAAAGCGATAGTTTGGAAAGCATTCCAAAGTAAGGCGAAGGCGAGTTCGGCACAAACCTAGGCAAAAGAAAGGTCTGATGGCGCAAGTTAACTTGTGTCGAAATTGCCCTTGGATCGCTAGGCATTTATAGAAATCTGTCATTACACCTCCAAAAAATGCGTTAATTAAAAAGGGAAGACTTACCCTTTGGCTTCATCCACTCTGTCACGACAAAGATGAATCTTGCAGGCAGCTGAATAGCGGGCACGTGGGAGGGGGGACGCAACTTCCTAGTCACCACTCGAGTCAAAATTCCATCGCATGTAACAAGTGCTCAACTTTAGCATAAGCACAGCCTTTCGTGGTCAAAGGTCACTCACCATTTTTAAATCGGTTAAGCTGATCTTCCTCCGATAATAAATGAGGTATAACCATACCGAAAAACCTTCACCTTGGAAATGAAAAAATTGACTCCTGTGCTTCGTCATGGCCCAGTTCGCAGGGAGATCTGTTTACTTCATTAAAATCGCATGGCTATGAATTCATAGTCACTGATTCTTATGAAGTAAATGATTTCCACCACGAGGGAGACTACATGCAGCCAACCTTACATCTCCAAGATGACGGATTGAGAGAATGGTTACAACTCACTTATTACATACGAAAATCGGTCCAATGTAGTTGATGATCTTTTTTTCAATCACTGCACTATTCACTTTCCCCCCCACATAATATACAACATGCAAAGGATCATGCAAAAAAAAAGAAAAATCCTACCTTTATAAGGCTGCCCTTCTGAAATCTGGAACAAAAAAAGAAATTCCCGTTAAAAAAGTGAAGAAGTCAAAGATTAATTAGACTAATTAAAAATAATTAACTTTTAGACTACCCTTGAGGAGGGTAGGTGTCGTCAATTGCTTTAATTGAAGTAAAATTATCTGTGGCTAGCACAGATACGACCCCCACACGTGCGCATGCGCGATTCTGCCCTGTCTAAGAATATGTCTACCAAATTTGGTGCCGTTTAGCCGGAAATGAGAGTACAGACGAACCGACAGACAGACCGACATCATCGAGATTTTGTTCGATTCGGATTCCTGGTGCTTGAAAACGTGTACTTCCGTCCGAAAAGTGGGTGGGCATTTTTTACGCCAATACAATACCTCCCTTATTAACGTGCGGGTGGAAAAAAAAGGTTAGCCCTTACCCCATAGCCTTATTGATTCGGTCTTGCCTAGGGAAAACCATTTACTAGACTGGTGGTAGCTGCGCGGGGCATCACTGGGGGGAGAGCATTTCTAATCGCTGAAAAGAAAAAAAATTGTATTATTTGAGTAACATTTAAAGAAGAATTTTAAATTCACAAATGCTCTACTTATGAAGGAAACACTTACCTTGTAACTTCATTAACTCCGCCTGGACTAGGACGAGGCCTTAACTGGATTGCAAGCATCAGAAAAACGGGCCTGAGGGGGGGGGGGGGCGGTACGCTCGTTCATAGTCTCCATCCGCAAAGACTCGAATAGTCTCCATCCGCAAAGACTGAAAATTAAAAAGGAGCATTAGATTTGTACGAGGATTTTTAACCGTTTTGAAATGCAAGTATTCGTTTATGACCTCAAAAAACGCGTTAATTAAAAAGTGAACACTTACCCTTTACTTCATTAACTCGGCCTGGTCTATGAAGAAATCTTAAGTGAACTGCGGGGGTTGGGGTGGAACGCCTCCTCTTAGTCTGCAGCACAAATACCTACGTGAAAAGTAAAAAAATTGCATTAAATTGTTGAATACAATGAAACAATGATTTGGGCGAAGGTATGGACGGACAGAAACATTTTGCCTTTACGTTATGCGTGAAAACAGGGGACAATTTTTTTGGATTTCAGACTGCGGACACTTTCAGTGGGGAAGTAAGCACCCCAAAGTTGACTCATTTTACTGTAATTAAATGTGAAGAAAGTGAGTTCCCCGAGCGAAGGGTCCCGCGGGAGCCACTCAGGTTCTGTGGGCAACCGAAGGGCCCAGCATGCAATTAATAATTAAATAGTCTCTCACAACGCAATTTAAGGTTATGTTCATTGAATGTGAGGAACCCCTGTGAGACTCCATGTTTTATGGACACTCCACTTAATTTCTAAAATTCACTTGCAACACGTACCTTTATTCCCATTTTCCCCCCGACGTCAGCCACCTCGTAAAAAGTGCGCTACTGTTTCAAACTTCGAATATACCTACCTGTGTGCAAGGACGGTTTTTTGATTACTCATGGTTGGACGCCATTTTATGAACCATTCGGCAATTTATAAAAGGGGATTTTCGGTAAACGTTGCAGAATTACCAGCTACACGTAGAAGTCATGCACAACTTGTAAACTCACCCCTGCATTACGCCTCTTCGTAAAACACAATTAATTTCACAAAACACAATAATGGCACCTTCTTTGAGCCGCACCCGAACTCAAAGCCGCAATGGCCGTTGAGGGCGTTGAAGGCAATGGAACCCGTGTTGTTGTTAAATAACGTAGTACACCCGCTATCGCTACTTCGCGATATTAATTGCATTGAAAACAATGCAAAATAACAGATTTCTGGTCTACGTGAAAATTCACGTCGATCGCAAGAACAAACTGTTACAAAAAACGTCAACATGCCATGACGTCATCATCCCTTATCGCTAGCAAAAAGAAATCGCTTTTTGGGGGGGTGCTGAGGTTACGCTAATTATTGAACAATTGTAAATAAAGTTCAATTAAGGGCGAGTTATGCAAACGGTACCTACGTGTGGAAATGGGGGGTCCATTTTTGAGTGGCTGCATTAATTAATCGAAAAAGATTGAAAAGTACTAACCTTCGGGCGGCCGTTCATGCTCGTGGATGCGATTTCTGGTACACAATGCGTTTAATTAGGGGTTTGTTTACGTGTTCAATTAAAAGATCACCCCCCTGCTTTTACGTTCGGCGAACAGTTTCACAAATTTGAAGATCACGTACGAAGAAAACACACACAACAGGTTACTCGGAACGTTTCCGACTGACGATTTGCGTAGCAACATCGGCAGAGCCGCGCTCCGATTGGCTGCCGAGCGATCACCTTTACACCTGTGGCCTGTTCTTATCAGTACCAGACTTTGTTTATCCGAATTTCGAAGAACTTTTTAAAACAATTTTCAATTAATTCGTACGAAAGCTGAACGACGAACGAGGGAAGGAAAAGCTGCCCTTTTCTAGAAAGATTGCCCTCCCCCCTTTCTGTTTAAAATGCAATGGTATTTTTCCCTAGCGCGTATTTTCCACCCCCAAAATCACCGTTTAAACTTTTTAAAGCTATTAATCGCATTCAAGAATCTTTAGGGGTTTATAAAATGTTGAAAAACTCCCAAGAAACCTGTAAAAGTCTTCTGGAAACACTTTGATAGCCTGTAAGCTTAAAACCCTCTAAAACACTCCGTAAAAGTGTTTAGGAGACTTGTTGTAGGTCCTTAACGTTTCTAAGAACATTTTACACTAGGAATTTTTGAGAAAAGTCGAAACAGTTTCTGAATTATTTTGCTAAAGACTTCACAAAGACGTTAATTACGAAGGCAGCACTTATATCTGTTAGATCATTAACTCGTACCGTACTAGGAATAATACCATAGCCAACTAAAGATGAGCATGTGGGGGGTGAGACCCCACATCTTATTCTCCAAGTGGGACTATAAATTTCGTTACATGAAGTAAAACTACTCAATTTGACACGAGTCGAAGGCGAGTTCGGCATAAATTGACTTACCCCATCAGACCTTTACTCTGCCTAGGTTTGTGCCGAACTTGGGCACTGACTTTTGCGTGACTCCGGCTCGCTCAGCATTAGAATAGCCCTTATTTTAAACTTCGACGCAAAATTGACGGTTTCAAAGGCAGTGCGAGCCGAAGACGAGTTCGGCACTATCCTAGGCAGAGCATAGGTATGATGGAGTAGAGTAAGTCGCCTTCGACTCGCTCGGCATTGGTTTCAAGTTGAGTACCTTCATGTGATGGAATTTAAGGGATCATGCAAAATGCATTAATGATGGACGAGTAGTCTATGGGCCAAATGGCTAAATTTAAGGAAATGGTATAATTTGGGGGTACCAATTTTCCTTTTTACCACGGTTAGACACATATATTAGGAAGTAAAAAAACCATGATTGCCATCTCAAAGTGGTAGCTAATAGAAATGGCGGCCAATCCAAGATGGCGGATGTTGAGTTTTATAAAATCAACTATATCTCTAGAGCTATTGGTCCGATTTCATCATTTTCTTAAATGAATAAGCTTTTGTGTGCTACAATATTGTCATAACTAGCGTTGGGCAAAAAAATCGATTAATCGATTATAATCAAACGATAATCGATAACCGGGTTTGATTATTCTATTAAATTAATCGATTATTTGATTAATCGATTATTTGATTAATCGATTATTTGATTAAACGATTATTTGATTAATCGATTATTTGATTAATCCATTATTTGATTAATCGATTAATCAGTGTAATCGATTATTTTTCATAATCGATTATCGATTATTCAAACCCGTAATCGTCCAGCCCTAGTCATAACTACCTTTTTCGATAAAATTAACAATTAGTAACTAATGCATGAAGTAAACGAACTGAATTTTTTTTAACTCAACATTTAATGAAAACTAAATCAACCCCTTCGTTACTTTCAAAAGTTTCATATACACTAAAACCTGCTACTTCTTCCTCTTCTTCAGTGACGTTTTCACAAGTTGGCAGTTTGCATGCGCTTGTGCACTTTAAGTTATTAGCATTAGCCAGCTTGGTAATTCTACGTGAGGCGATATGGAAGCCAAACTTAGGGTTATCTTTCATATTTTTGCTGCTTCAGGAATAGCATCTCTTTGATTTTGACCTACAATTTTCCAATGTATTTTTTGTTTTCACATAATGTATGTCCAATTATCTGGCACAATATACACCTTCCCATCAATATTAACAAACTCTTCGCTGACGTTATGGCTAAAAGCCGTATTTGATCGTATTTATTGCAAGACAGTCAGTCTTGTCAGTTGTAAAGTTCTTGTTTAAAGTTAAGCGGTCACGTTTTTGCTGTGTTTATCGAGCAGGCGTCGCTCATCTGAAGCATTTCTTTAAGATTTTCCCAGTACTAGTTAAAGGGAGTTTTTTCACCATTAAAGAGCCTTCACAGTGCACAACAGGTTATCCGATGTATCTCCTAGTTTAGTAAGACGGTGACAATTCTTGTAATGCAACGTTGTATAACACTGCCTAAGATTGCCTGGTATTTTGGAGAGTGCAATTCACTAAAAGGTGAAAACTCTCCACATACGATACATATATTTTTGCATATTTTCACCATCTTCTTGATGTTTGGAAGCACTTATTTTATTTTTATTTTAATTCAATTTGTTGATCAGCTAAAGCTGTGAATACTTATATGCAAAATGAATATCGTTTATTTTTGGTTGTACCTACTTCTTCTGAGATTTTGTGTATTTTCGGTCTGCAACATTTGCGATTAAACCGAATTTATGTTTGCATATTTTAGGATGTATTTAAATTTTTGTTAGAGATAATCAATTTTAATTTGAATTTTTAGTACATTTTTGCGGATTTTTATAACGGACGCGATCATGAGACATACTGCAATAGCTGGAAGGAAGATTTATTGATTTAATTGATGTTTAATCTCATCATTTCCAAACTATTTTATCTTTCTCTTTCTCTACCGTGTTGATGGGTGATATTGTGGAAGGTTTGGAAATTGTTCCCAATAGTTTGTCGTTTTCTAATGCACCTATTATTTGCTGATGTAGAGAGAAGTTTCTCTGCTTAGTGCTTATAAATTAATTCTTAGCGACATAAGGCAATCATTTCGTGCAGAAAACATCTTATTGTTAGTGTTTATCGTAATTCCATTTTTATTAGAAATTATGCAACATATAATAATTTTGCATATGTGTGCATATACATCAAAACTGTTTGCATATTTTTCACTCTCACTCATTCTGCATATATATGCGCATATTTTACCATTTATTGTTGATTAATACAGGATACAGGTAGTAAAGAAAATTGGGAAACAAATTTTTAAAAAAACATTTTTTTAAATTACTTATTAACAGTTGATTTTATCGAAAAAGTACTTATAACAATATTTATAGCACATTTTTTTTTGGTTAGTTTTACAGGTACTCATGCCTTCCAGCATATCCCCTATTATCTATCTATAAGTCTTTCTTAATTTTTTTATTACTTTTTTATTTTTTTATTTTACAGGAGTTGGCCGTATCTAGGATTTTTATTGCCATAAAAAGGGTTACCTAGACTTCGTTGCCCGTCCCTAACCACTTGGAGGTCCCTGTAAAATTTATCTAATGGTCTTGTCTAAAATCTTCCCCAATTTTCTTTTTTGAATTTTGCTGCAATAACTTCCAAATATACTTCTAATGTTTTTATTTTGTAAACATTGAATTTTGTTAACAGGCCAAATAATAATTCCTTTTGATTCTAACAAATTTTTATAATCTTCTCTCTCAATTTTAAACTCCTCGCACTCATATACCAAATGTTCCGCACTCTCTATTCCATTCTCACACACACACACATATTTGTTTCACTTTTTTTAATTTTATAAGAATAAGAATTGAAAAGTCCTCTATTTGTTATAATTTGGATAATACCTCTATTAATATTCCAAAATTTCCATTTTAATCTATTTGTGATGTTTGGTATGTATTGATATGTTTCCCTCCCCTTGTCCGATTGATCCCAGTCCTCTTGCCATTTAGTTATATAATAATTTTCAATTTGTTTTTTAATTTCAAATCTTGCTAATTTTCCTTCTTCATTTTCTAAATTTTCTAAATTTTTATGAGCTTTCGATGGATGTCCAAAATCAATTTTCTTTTTATTTCTTATATACGTATCATAATTTATAATATTTTCCCCCAAAATAATATCTTTATCTTTCCTTAAATTATAATTTTGAATTTTTTTATTTATTTTTAATATAATGGGCATAATTCCTGATATTACATTTACCGAATTTGTCGCTGTCCTATCGTACATGTTAAAAATTCTTCTTAAAATATAAGACTGAATACTAATAATTTTTTTTTCTTGAATTTTTTAATTCTTTTCCCCCATATAACGGATCCATATAAAAACGCAGGTTCTAATGCACCCTTATAAATAGTAACTAATGTTTTTTTTTTATTTAAGCCCCAATTATCTTTGCATTTCCAAATATATTTTTGAAAAAGTTGTTTTATTTTACTAGAAATTTTGTCTATGTGCATGTAAGTTTTAATTTTTCTTGAATTGTGATGCCTAAATATTTTATATTATTGACCATTTTAATTTGTTTACCATAAATTTTTATTGTAGGGGGTCTTTTAATATCCAAATTTCCTTTAAATAATATCATTTCGGTTTTTTCATGAGATATAGTTAGTTTATTTTCGTTACACCAATTTTCAAATTTTTTCATTATTTCGTTTCCGGTATTTTCTAATTTCTTTCTTGAATTTTCTCCAATTATAAAAATTTTGTCGTCTGCGTATGCAATTTCTTTAATATTATCTTGAAAGCTATTGTTGAAAATAAAAATAAAAAACGTTGGTCCCAACACTGAACCCTGTGGGCAACCTTTACTTATTTCTTTTGTTATTTTTTGAAATTTATTACTATATACTATAATTCGATCTGTTAAATAACTTCTAATAATTTTTTGTATTGACAAGTCACACTTAATTTTGTCCAATTCATATAGAATAGCACATATAAAGAGCTTTCATGAAAAAAAAAGAATAGTGAAATTGGATCAATAATTCCAGAGATATAGTTGATTTTATAAAACTCAACATCCGCCATCTTTGATTGACCGCCATTTCTATTAGCTACCGCTTTGAGATGGCAATCATGGTTTTTTGGCATCCTAGTAAACACGTATAACCACTGTAAAAAGGAAAATTGGTACCCCCAAATTATACCGTCATGTCGACTGGCCCATGGACTAGAGCAAAAGGCGAGTTCGGTACAAATTGATTTACACTCCTCCATCAGACCTTTGCTAGCCAAGATAGCTTTTGTGGGTCCCTAAGGGTTTTCCAGAGCTCTTAAGGATGAGGTTCTTATGATTAGACTCAAGAGTACCTTTAAGTGTCTACAAAAATCACCAAATTGGTCTTCAAAAGCCTTCTGGATTATTTTTAAGTAGTTATTATTCTATTTAACGAGCCTTTTACGTGTGGTTAAATTTTTTTATTAATCATTACAAGCATTTAACAGACCTTTGAGGGTCCTTAAGAAACTTTATGAGCTATATGGTATCCGATAGAAGATTTTAGGAGACTCCAAGCACCAAACCTATCAAATAGTTTGATGGGCTTTTAGAGGATTGAAAGCACACCCCCACCACCGATCAGGTTGTTTACGAGATTTATTTTGAGGCTAAGGTTTGATGGGCCTTTAAAGGCCATTAAGTTTTCAAAAACAATGGGCATTTGTTAAAAATCTTTATCCTTAATCATTTACGTTTTCCATTGTCTCCGAGGGTTTCCAAAGACTTTTAAAGCTCGTCAGATCCGCTGTTGCCTTACGGTCTCTGTTCTTTTTAACGATTTGCGGTGCGACCCGGAAATAAGGACTCCCGCGAGATCTTTCCCGGTATCCGGCATGTTTTCGAGTCTGGTCCTGAGGATCTCAACCGCCCAGGTGGTAGCATTACCTTCTATTCACGATTAGTAGAATCAAGCAACTGGAGACCATCTTAGATTTGGAACCAGATCATAACTCGTTTTGTGCTTGTAGAATTGGGTCAAAACCAGGTAGTACCAAGGGTCAACTCTAGGAAAATGGAACTAACACTGCATAAATTACAAGATTATTGCTTCCATTTACTCTAGAACAATAACTATCTACCTACGTGTCTAAAAGCGTTCCCGTGGGCTGCTGCAGATATCAATAGTCGCAACGGCGACTCTCCTCAAGCTCTCTACCTGCCTCGTGTCATTGGCGGTACTCCCTTTTAACTCCTCCTGAATCTCCTCCAAAGTTTTGCCTTTGGTTTCTGGCACGCAACAAATCACGAAGACGAGCCCTACGACACAAGCCACGCCGAACGAGAAGAACGGTATGTGCATCCCGTAGTGGTCCTTGACGGCCTGAAAAAATTTTGAAACCGCCGTTGCGACCAGGCTGAAGTTGATGTCCACGAGACTGAGCGCGAAAGCCTTCACGTTCGTTGGGAACAGCTCGCCCAAGAGCAGCACGGGTACCGTCTGCAGGCCCACACTGTACATGATAACGAATGCGAAGAGTACCACGATTGGTACATACGAGTAACGAGACACGTCCAAAGATGGGTGATCGGACTGTAGATAAAAGTAAGTGCCTTCGATAAACAACGCTATTCCAGCGCCGATCAAGGAGAAGACCAGAAGCGGCCTCCTTCCAGTACGATCGACGAGGGCGGACGATACGATGCACATCAGCAGCTGCACAGCGAAGTAGATGATTGACGTCATCGACGAAGACACGGAACTACCGGCACTTTCGAAGATGGTGTGCGCGTAAAAACTAATCGCCAGCATTCCGCTGCACTGTTGCATTGTTCGTCCTCCCATCGCAATAAGAACGGCCTTACGATTGCTCTTCACGGTGAAGAGATCCAAAAACCTCCCGGTTTCGGTATTCTGTTCCGTAATCGCATTAGAAATTCTCTCCATGTCCTCGTCCACGTCGTTTACGCCCTTGAAAACTCTCAAGCTCTTCGCCGCCTCCGCCTCCCTCCCGCGCATTGTTAAAAAATAAGGACTTTCGGGCATCCAGATGAAGGTGACGAAGAGCATCAGGGGAACCGCGGAGGAGATCAGCGCCGCGGTTTTAATGGACGTATACGAGCCGACGATGTTGATCAGCAGCATACCCAAAACCAGCGTTACCGAGCAGCTCGAACCGAGTAACCCCCTAACTTCGGGCTCGGCGATTTCGTTCAGGTAGATCGGCAGCGCGCAGAAGCAAATTCCGTCGCCGATCCCGGCTACTAACCTCGCGAGTAGCAAGACGGGAAACGCTCGGGCGAAGCCCACCGCGAGCCACGCGCCGAAAAACGGCAGAGCGGTGAGCAAAATCGTCGCCTTACGGCCGATTCGATCTACTAGCGCGATACCCATAAGTGCACCGATGGCCGCGCCGACGAGCGGCATTGCTGCCAACCAAGAGCCTTCGTGGTTCGCCACGTGAAACGTGGAGTTGGGTCGCTGCAGCTGAGGGAGCGACGGGGAGGGCCATCCGTAGTGCATTCCGCTTGACACGATGCTCAGGTTGCCTGAAATATGATCTGTATTGGTTCCAAAATGCGCGCCAAATTTAAACCTTACCTGTTATCATCGCCAAATATTGGAAAATGCGGGCATTTCTACGAATTATCAACCTTTTCATTTTAATTACTGATTGATTAAGTACTCGTGCTTGTAAGGAAATGCGTCGATACTACGACAGTTACGGTGTTGACACTTTAGATTACCGGGTCAAAAATACGCTGTTATCGCCCGTTATCGTATTTTTACGAATCTTGTCAGTTGATTGCAAAGTGTTTTGATTTTCAGAATTTCTTCTTCTTCAATTTCTTCGAATGCTCCACATCCTTTAGATTCTTCCGTCAATCGTCAGTTTCTCAATATTTCAGCGGATGATTGGAACATTTCAGGTGATCTATTTAGGATTCTTCACTTACTTTCATACTTGGATCTTCCTATTTTTGATATTCCTCAAGTTCATTGTCAAATTCTTCCCCATTCATCAATTTTTACCAACTTTCAGCTTCATCATATACCATATTATATCCATCGCATTTTTCAAATCCATAAGTTCTGTCGGATTTTTCATTTGCATCGAATTCTTCAAATTCTTCAAACTCGTTTCTTCAAATTTGACCAAGGTGGCAGAATGAAGAACTGCGCGATCGATAGGGACGCTATCGTAGCGGGCGAACAAAAACGAGTGACTGTCGAGTCGCCTTTGGAAGTTCAATTTCCCATCTAAACAAAAATACCAAAGGTGACTCGATGGTCACTCATTTTTGAATGCAATGTGGATAAAGGTGGATCGGTTCAAAAATAGAAAAATGAAATGAGCGGCGGCGGTGTCGGTAAACATACCCACTTAACATAAGTAGGCAATGGAGGGTGGCCCCAAAATAGCCCAGCCCCTCTAGTAAAGTAGTAGAACGGTACCAAGGGTGGGGGGCTCTACTAGCGTAATTGATTAAGCAAACTGACGATTGTGGAGTCAAAACAATCGATGGTGGCGCCAAGTCAGCTCTGGTGGCAATCTAAATGAACTAAATAACCGAGCGAGCCGAATGCGAGATCGGCACAGACTTATCAATTTATGTCGAACTCACCTGCGACTCCCTCATTATTGATGCACATTGCATGAGCCTTAAAATTCGATCACAAAAAGTACTCAACTTGAAACCAGTGCCGAGCGAGTCGAAGTCCAAGTCGTCACAAATTGAAGTACCCTACCTCACCCTACCCTACCAAAGGTGCATTTAAAGACATTGGTTCCTTATTAACGGCATCTCCTATCTCTGTTTTAATTGAAGGCCCTTCAAGAGCTTTCTAACCAGCTCATGAGTCTGCTAAAGGAATTTTAATATTTTATAACAGGCTTTATTGGTGTTTAAAAGCCATCATCACCAATATTTTCTCTCTCTCTCTAAGGATTTTCAATCCCCTCCACAATCCCACGCACCTTCTCGAGTCGTTTAGATTCCTTAATTGACCTTTATTAAATAGGAGTCCTTAAAAGCCGTAATACTGTAACCGGCACCCAGGCATCGGAGCGCCATCAAGTCGACAAGGAATTAATCACCGGCGATAAAAAATGAAAGCGAATGCGACACGCGGTATCTCATTTGAGAAGATCTAAAAGAGGCTTCTTGATCGGTGGCCGCTACAACGTCTATTCTGACAGAGCTTTAAGAAAGGGCATCCGGCTCTTGAAAGGCTTTCAAATCTCTTTATGATTAATGTTACCCAACTGCATTCAGGGGTATATAAGATCTTTTCAAGTTGTCAATAGTTTCTAAAGGCTTCTATAAAAGGCCCAGACAAGTTTTTTTAAAGGTTTTTCGAGTTTATGAAAGCCTTTAAAAAGCCTTGAAGAGATTTTATGAATCTCCAATGGTTTTCAAGAGTGTCCAAGAATCTTCTAAAGTATTTTAGATCCTTTAATTGACTGATGCTGGGGTATTTAGGACTATTTGAATGTCTTTAGAAGCCTTATAAGGTCCATATTACAAGGTATGTGTGCTTAACTGCAGGGGCGGACTGGGTACTTATGGGCCAGGTGGAATTGCATAGGTTACGGGCCATTAAAGTATTAGTGTAGTAATGAAGGTGGCGGGGGGTAGCTCTGCGGTGCACCACAAAAACATTTTTTTGCTTCATTTTAGTACTCCTTTTTCGGAAATCAATTACAATACAGTTTTTTTTTAATTGCAGCTGATAATTAAAACTTTTGATTGAGACGTCCGATCGAAAAAGTACGAATTGTTTTGGATTCTACGCACCAAAATTAATAAGAAAAAAGTGTTTTCACGAGAAATTTTGGTGCAGTCGATTTTTGGTAAAAAAGGAAGGTATACACTGCCTTTTTTTGAGCCAGAAAAAAAATTCTCAGATCGACCCGAAAAAAAATTTTTCTTATAGAATGTGGCCTGTAGAATTCATAATTTCAAACAGTTCCAAGATCGGGCCACTAGTTCAAAAGTTATCCCAGCCTAAGTGCCGTAACTATTTTCGTTACAGTATTTCTCATCCCATCGTAGTTTATAATATATACATTCAGTGGCGTAGGTAATTATGTATTTTTGGAAGCGGTGCCGGATCAGGGTTTGGCACCCTACCGTATTTTGGCGCCTTATTAGTTAACATTGAGCTCTAATTAATAAAACACTGTCCATTTTTGAGAGAAACTTTACACGAAATTTTAAAAGCACTGCACCCTTTCGAATTTACACACAAATTTTGCATACTTACATTTTAAAAAGATGCTTTCACTCAATGAAGAATAGAAGTACATTTATTTATAATGTTTTCAATTCTCGCGTCAAATTTAGCTATGCCATGGGGCACAAGTCGTAGAAATGATTGCGTGCAAATGCTGGTCACACTAATACAGACTATTGTATGGATCACAAATAAAGTATTATTATTATTAAATTAAATTTGCAGCCTTTTCCTACCGCTGTAACTTTGTTCTACAAGGGCTATTCAGAAAGTAACAGGCGTTTTGAAATAAAAAATTAAGAAAGTGTAAGAAACAACTTTTATTATATACATTTGGAGGCTACACTCTTAGGGTGTTTTTCAACATCCATATTGAGGCACTTAACATAGCGTGGTAGTGTAACGGAAACGCTCCAGACATGACGTCGCCTTTGGCGCTCTGGAATTTTCTACGCGCGCGATAGTGGGATTTGTATAGGAATATTCCAGACTTATCCGGTAATTACGCGAGTGTTCTCGACTTACATTGCTTGCGTGTATAAATGGTTGCGGACCGAACATCGCAAGCAGTTTTACTACCGAACGAGATCGAGTACAGATGAAACATCGAGCGCGGAAATATAAATTGCGAAGTGTGTGATATAAATTGTACAGTTTTTATAGTGTTTTAGTTTTGTTTAATAAATATTGATATAAATCGAACCCGAATTTATAAATAACGTTACAGTAGTTTTTTGATTCAAACTTTGTATATATCCGGCGTCTGTGGGGGCAGAAATGGGTACCGACAAAGCGAATGTGGTAGCCCTCGACAAGATCTTATTGATTGTGGAGTCAAAACTGGCTAATAAAAGTACTGATCTGTCACACAAAAATGCGCTGAAATCCCTTGAATGTCCGTTCATCCTAAAGGACCGTAAATTTAGTTTTAATTGAATTTTAGTGCACCCTGTATTCGTCTTTAGCAAATTATTAGAATTTAACCGCCGTTCTTGGGTTTTATGACTGACCTATACTGTACACCGCGTACAGCTCATCCCGACTTAGTGCCCTCGGTGCTTCAGCGACTCCGGCGCGGCACCTTTGGCACCTACCTAGTTACGCCACTGTATACAGTGCGAAACCTCTCACTAAGAGACTTTTGGTTTTAAGAATCTTTTAACCTGGCATAAGCATAATAAACTAATAAATCAAACCTTGTTTCAGCAACCCTAAGCATTGTCTCAAGCGGGATGCATTACGGATGGCCGTCGCCGTCTCTCCCCCAATTGGAGCACGCCAACTCGACGATACCGATAACAAACGAGGAGGGTTCCTGGATGGCCGTCATGCCGCTGGCCGGCGCGACCGTCGGTTCAATTTTCGGCGGCATAATACTCGACATCATCGGACGAAAGAACGGGGTTCTGCTGACGGTGCTGCCGTTTCTCGCCGCCTGGTTGATGGTGGCGTACGCGAAGACCGTAACCGTTCTAAGCGTGGCGAGATTCATCGCGGGACTCGGCGACGGTCTGGCGTTCTGCGCGGTCCCGATGTACTTGGGCGAGATCGCCGACCCCAAGATTCGCGGGTTTTTGGGCTCGAGCTGCTCGATCACGTGGATTCTGGGAATGCTTCTCATCAACATAATCGGCTCCTATACGAGCATAAGCATTGCGGCGATCGTATCGTCGATTGTTCCCGTCATTCTCATGTTCACCTTCGTTTGGATGCCCGAAAGTCCGTACTATTTGATAATGAAAGATAAGCCGGAGGAAGCGAGGAGGAGTCTGAGAATCTTCAAGAGGGTGCATGATGTCGAGGACGAGCTGAAGCGACTGTCGCTTGCGGTCAAGGAGCAAACTACCAACACGGGGAAGTTTCTGGATCTGTTCACCGTGGATAGTAATCGGAGGGCGGTGCTGATCATGATGGGGATGCGAGCCGCTCAGCAATGCTGTGGCACCATGGCCATCACCTTCTACGCGCATACAATCTTCGAAAACGCAGGCGATGATCTCTCCTCGTCCACCGCGAGCATAATCTACTTCGCAGTTCAGCTGGTGCTCTCGACTCTATCCTCCATGATTGTCGATCGCACCGGGCGAAGACCACTGCTGATCATATCCATCATTGGAGTCGCGACCGCTTTGCTCATCGAGGGCACCTACTTCTACCTCAAATCCGATCACCCGCACCTCGACGTTTCGCGATACTCATTCGTGCCGATAACCGCGTTGATCATGTTCGTCGTACTCTTCGGCGTCGGTCTGCAGGCGATACCGATCTTACTTCTCGGCGAACTCTTCTCGACCAACATCAAGGCGTTCGCGCTATGTCTCGCCGACATTTACTTCAACGTAATCGCGACGATCGTTTCGAAATTCTTCCAGGCCATGAAAGACCATTACGGGATGCACGTGCCGTTCTTCGCGTTCGCGGCGTGCTGCGCGCTGGGGCTGGTCTTCGTGATATTCTGCGTGCCCGAAACCAAGGGGAAGACTTTGGAAGAAATCCAAGAGGAATTTAGGACGAAACCGAAAGGGGAGGACGTACAGCCGATGGACACTTTTAAGAAGATTGCAATCGAAACCTAGTACTTTATGTACGTAAAATGTACTTACAATGGACATATTTCTATTTCAATTCCAGTTTTAGTACATTAAAGGACGTACCAAGTTAATTTAAGTTACATAGGAAGCATTGTATGTACAAAATCAATTAAACCATTTTTTTTAAATAAACGAAATGATAGATTAGACGTACTCCTCAAATTGAAATGTTCTAACCCTGTATACAATGGCATCAAAAGTTGGCATGTCGTGTATAGGAACGTAACTTTGATGGTCCAGGCTTGAAGTAGGCACAAAACGTAAAAGGGGAGGGGGCGGGGAGGGGGTTAGAAGATGTGGGGAAGGTTTGACACAGACACACCAGTGTGGAGAATTGTGTGAGAAGGGACCTATGACGCAATGCCCAGGAATATGCTCGTAAGTGGCGCCAAAATAGCGCACGGGGTGATGTAAAAGAGGTGACAGGGAACGTTAGACTTCTGGAAGTGAAATTTCCAAGAAAATGTGAAAGAGGCGCAAGGGAAGAAAGGGAGCGAAGGAGATTGGAAGAAATCGTGAAAAGCAGTAGGAAGGACATTTTTTAAAACTAGGGCGCGGCGGGGAAGACATAACCGTTGGGGGGGGGGGGGGGCTAATGTAAGACAAATGCTTGTAGTAGAAAGGAAAATTGGAGTTAAATATTCATAACGGAAAGGCGAAGAAAGGTGAATAGTACCCCTACGGTTCGGCAACACATCTTACATCTGGAAAAAAGCATACGATATTCGTGCCATCGAAACGTCCCGACATGAAAGTGTTGTGCTCGCAGTTTTCACCCTAAGCTGCCAACTGTAAGTATAGGGTAAGTCAAGATTACAGTGCCGGCTCGGGGGACACAAGACGATTACCTACACCTTGACAAAGAAAGAAAGTGCAATCAAATTGTTAAGGCTCGGAAAAGGAGTGAAGAAGATGTGTAATAAACGACGTGCGGAAAACGCTATTGGAATGAAAACAAAAACAGAAAGCGCTATGACTTATGATTCACCACGTTCAATTTTCAGTCAAAATCTGTGATCAGTGGTGAGTCTGGAGATAATGGAGGCTCCCGCGCATATACGAGAGAAAGGACCGAAGAGGTTGACGAGGAAGAAATATAGATTAGTAGAGCAGACCAAGACCGACCAGGAATCAGGGCCTGAGACGGAGAGGGAAACACAAATGAGGAGAAAGAGGACTAAGAAACCCAAATTTGGGAGCGAAAGTGAGGGCACTTCACTTACGGCGGCAAGGCGACGAACATCGAGGGTGGAGGCGGTGCTCGTGAAGTTACAGGGTAGCAATCACATGTCGGGGTGACGAAGACGAGGAACGGCAACATCCTCCTTTGGGCAGAGAAGGGGGTGAGAAAAGTCGATCAAGGCAGCCATTAGCGACCGAGAGGTGGCGCTTTCAGAAGACAACTGCCACCCTTTCAGTTAGGGGTCTAGGCGAGAGAACATCCGGGGACGGTTCTGCTACGAATCAACCCCAATGCCAGGTGCAGAATATGATGACGATGGAAAAAGAGGGCAGAAGGTGGCATTTATCCACCTTAACAGAGGCCCTTGTCAGATAGGGATGCTTGACCTAATGCAGGGTGAAAATTGACGTGGACCAGATGCGGATAGAGAGACGAACGGACATACTGACGGACAGGCAGACGGACTAACAGACAGACGGACGAACGGACAGACTGACGGCCAGCAATACAAAATTATAAACGATGTTGAGGATCGTTAATATACCATGAGCTGCTTCTAACATTATTTTCAAGAATGTGTCATCCATTTTTTTTCTTTACTGGGAGGGGGGGGGGTATTCCAAACCCCCCAAACCCAGAGGTGGTGCGTTTTTTGCAGCAATATTTGTCATAGACATAGATCTGCTAGTGGTCAAAGCCGAGCGCCGGAACCGCCTGAAAGCTAACTTGGCCTTGGTAAGTGTGGTAAGATAAGATAAGGTAAAGATACACCTCCTCGCACTCATATGATACTGATACAGAATTGGCAAGTTTTTAAATCGAATGAAAGCTGTGAAATAGTTCTGACAGAGCTAGAAAAAGACCTCTTCATACATTATGTTCTCCTAGTAGCCCGACACCTTTTGCGTGTGTCGACAAATAACAGGTGTAGTATTAGGAAAAGAAACACCTCCTCGCACTCATATGATCCTGATACAAAATTGGCAAATTTTTAATCGATTGAAAGATTTGAAATAATTCTGAAAGAGCTAGAAAAAGACCTCTTCGTATATTATGTTCTCCTAGTAGCACGACACCTTTTGCATAAATTTGTCGACAAGTAACAGGTGTAGTAATAGGAAAAGAAACACCTCCTCGCACTCATATGATCCTGATACAAAATTGGCAAATTTTTAATCGATTGAAAGATTTGAAATAATTCTGACAGAGCTAGAAAAAGACCTCTTCGTATATTATGTTCTCCTAGTAGCACGACACATTTTACATAAGTTTGTCGACAAGTAACAGGGGTAGTATTAGGAAAAGAAACACCTCCTCGCACTCATATGATCCTGATACAGAATTGGCAAATTTTTAAATCGAATGAAAGCTTTGACGTAATTCTGACAGAGCTAGAAAAAGACCTCTTCGTACATTATGTTCTCCTAGTAGCACGACACATTTTATATAAGTTTGTCGACAAGTAACAGGTGTAGTATTAGGAAAAGAAACACCTCCTCGCACTCATATGATCCTGATATAGAATTGGTAAATTTTTAAATCGAATGAAAGCTTTGAAATAATTCTGACAGAGCTAGAAAAAGACCTCTTCGTACATTATGTTCTCCTAGTAGCACGACACCTTTTACATAAGTTTGTCGACAAGTAACAGGTGTAGTATTAGGAAAAGAAACACCTCCTCGCACTCATATGATCCTGATACAGAATTGGCAAATTTTTAAATCGAATGAAAGCTTTGAAATAATTCTGACAGAGCTAGAAAAAGACCTCTTCGTATATTATGTTCTCCTAGTAGCACGACACATTTTACATAAGTTTGTCGACAAGTAACAGGGGTAGTATTAGGAAAAGAAACACCTCCTCGCACTCATATGATCCTGATACAGAATTGGCAAATTTTTAAATCGAATGAAAGCTTTGACGTAATTCTGACAGAGCTAGAAAAAGACCTCTTCGTACATTATGTTCTCCTAGTAGCACGACACATTTTATATAAGTTTGTCGACAAGTAACAGGTGTAGTATTAGGAAAAGAAACACCTCCTCGCACTCATATGATCCTGATATAGAATTGACAAATTTTTAAATCGAATGAAAGCTTTGAAATAATTCTGACAGAGCTAGAAAAGAACCTGTTCGTACATTATTTTCTCCTAGGAGCACGACAACTTTTACATAAATTTGTCGACAAGTAACAGGTGTAGTATTAGGAAAAGAAACACCTCCTCGCACTCATATGATCCTGATACAGAATTGGCAAATTTTTAAATCGAATGAAAGCTTTGAAATAATTCTGACAGAGCTAGAAAAAGACCTCTTCCTACATTATGTTCTCCTAGTAGCACGACACCTTTTACATAAGTTTGTCGACAAGTAACAGGTGTAGTATTAGGAAAAGAAACACCTCCTCGCACTCATATGATCCTGATATAGAATTGGTAAATTTTTAAATCGAATGAAAGCTTTGAAATAATTCTGACAGAGCTAGAAAAAGACCTCTTCGTATATTATGTTCTCCTAGGCTAGATACCTACACATGCTATCAGAGGATGATTAATTCCGCATAAAGTGTCGAGTATGGTTTTAATTTCACTGTAAAATGTAAAAAGTACAATCAGAATCGTAACGAAAACGTTTAAAAAGACAGGAAACGGTCAATTCTCCAAAATTAGGTTAATTTCACCAATTATGCGGGTGGACCTGGAAGCTGGATGCTGTAGCAGATCGACCTACAAAAACATAACCTCATTTCCGATGTTAATAAATTAATGTCGACCGTTGACATCCTTTTTTTTAAGGCGAAATTTCTAGTCAAAGTTCAATGAAGAGAGCCTTCTCAGGCGACAACTGACAAGACCGCCACAATGCCGAGACCTCCGAGCAATCGAACCACCGAAGCGCCACTGCTGAAGTACAAAACGAGACGAAAAACCAAATCGACCTGCATAGTCCGATGCTGCGTGATCTCCTTAATTACAATGTAAGACCGTGGAGCCACACGAGACAGTCCTGACCCTCTCACTTTCAGGACAATTCTACTGCTAATAGCCTTCGTCGTGATCTTCGTCGCGATTCCGTTAATATTCAAGTACTCGGTGGAACTGCAGCGCGACCTAATCTTCCCCATACGTAAGCGCAGCGCGAGACGGCCGAAACGAACTGTAGATCTCGTTTTTAGATGAGCTCTACCCGGAGAACGCGGACTTTAATAATTTCACCAAGTACGACGTCTACGGGGGTAGAAACTTGTACGTGCCCGTAAACGAGTCGCACAACATAACGTTGGGCGTGTGGCACCTCTTACCCTTAGCCTTGGTGAATAGTTCGACGCAAGAGATCGAATTTAATTATACCGAAGCTTTGGAGGGCCCCGATTATCCGGTGGTTTTGCACTTTCACGGAAATGGAGGTAATCGTATCAATGGCGTCGAGATTTATTCGGTTCTGCGTGAATTCTTCCACGTCATTGCTTTCGATTATCGGTGTAAGTGTACGGGGGGCAGTCGGAAGTGAGATTAATCGCATTTATTAGGTTACGGCGACTCGAGTTGCGGCGAACTAATCGAGGACTGCTTGATTTCTGACGCGGTCGCCCTGTACAGGTGGCTAATGGCGCGGACGACCGCCGACATTTACATTTGGGGACACTCGTTGGGTTCCGCCGTTGGTACGCATGCGGTAGCCGAGTTGAAGAAGGAGAACATTACACCCGCCGGTTTGTTCCTGGAGGCTCCGTTTACGACGCTTCGCGACGAGGTTAAGTACGTGCAGACGCTGTTCTGGTTTACGAGGGTGAGTGCCTTTATACTTCGGGCGCGTTTTATTTTGGGGTTTTAGGCGTTCCTGTGGCTGCCGTGGTACGAGACGACGCTAGTCGATCCCTTCGAGGAGCATGGGTGGAGGTTTAACACTGTCGAGCACTTACAGTCGGTGGATTGCCCGGTTATGATTTTCCACTCCGAAGATGACAGTGTAATACCTATTCGGTTCGGGAGAGAGGTAAGGTTGGTATGAGTCTCGCTTCAATTATCTCATTCTCTTTTTAGTTACATGAAACTGCCACCGCGGTTCGCAACCACACTTACCAAGGCGAAGTTAGCTTTCAGGCGGTTCCGGCGCTCGGCTTTGACCACTGGCAGATCTATGCCTATGACAAATTGCCGTCGTGCATAGTTTCCCATATTGATGTGTGTAGAGTATTTAAGGAGGAGAGAATTAACGTGTAGATGCTTTTTTGTGATAATAATTGATTCAATTTAAACTAATTTGTGCCAAATATTTATTGATATTTAGTTTATGAAAACTATTGTAAATTATTTTATTTTTTTATAACGTTTAATAAACGAATCTGTTGTTTAACACCTCGTGAGGGCATTGCCTCTACCAACTTTCCAGATATAGCGTTTTTTGTGCGCATTTTTGAAAAAAATATGCTATTATATCCGTTATACAAAATAAAGACGTACCCTCAATGGAAATTTAATAAAATCAATTATTTAACGCAGCCAAAATTACTCGCGAGATCGATAATTTTAAACTTTGCTAATAAAATACACATATGAGTGCGAGGAGGAGTTTCTTTTCCTAATACTACACCTGTTCCTTGTCGACAAACTTATGTAAAAGGTGTCGTGCTACTAGGAGAACATAATATACCAAGAGGTCTTTTTCTAGCTCTGTCTGAATTATTTCAAAGCTTTCATTCGATTTAATAATTTGCCAATTCTGTATCAGGATCATATGAGTGCGAGGAAGTGTTTCTTTTCCTAATACTACACCTGTTCCTTGTCGACAAACTTATGTAAAAGGTGTCGTGCTACTAGGAGAACATAATATACGAAGAGGTCTTTTTCTAGCTCTGTCAGAATTATTTCAAAGCTTTCATTCGATTTAAAAATTTGCCAATTCTGTATCAGGATCATATGAGTGCGAGGAAGTGTTTCTTTTCCTAATACTACACCTGTTCCTTGTCGACAAACTTATGTAAAAGGTGTCGTGCTACTAGGAGAACATAATATACCAAGAGGTCTTTTTCTAGCTCTGTCTGAATTATTTCAAAGCTTTCATTCGATTTAATAATTTGCCAATTCTGTATCAGGATCATATGAGTGCGAGGAAGTGTTTCTTTTCCTAATACTACACCTGTTCCTTGTCGACAAACTAATGTAAAAGGTGTCGTGCTACTAGGAGAACATAATGTAGGAAGAGGTTTTTTTCTAGCTCTCTCAGAATTATTTCAAAGCTTTCATTCGATTTAAAAATTTGCCAATTCTGTATCAGGATCATATGAGTTTGAGGTGTTTCTTTTCCTAATATTAGACCTGTTATTTGTCGACACACGCAAAAGGTGTCGTGCTACTAGGAGAACATAATATACAAAGAGGTCTTTTTCTAGCTCTATCAGAATTATTTCAAAGCTTTCATTTGATTTAAAAAGTTGCCAATTCTGTATCAGGATCATATGAGTTTGAGGAGGTGTTTCTTTCCCTAATACTACCCCTGTTATTTGTCGACACACGCAAAAGGTGTCGTGCTACTAGGAGAACATAATGTACGAAGAGGTCTTTTCTAGCACTGTCATAATTATTTCAAAGCTTTCATTCCATTTCAAAATTTGCCAATTCTGTATCAGGACCATATGAGTGCGAGGAGGTGTTTCTTTTCCTAATACTAAACTTGTCGACACACGCAAAAGGTGTCGGGCTACTAGGAGAACATAATGTACGAAGAGGTCTTTTTCTAGCTCTGTCAGAATTATTTCAAAGCTTTCATTTCATTTAAAAATTTGCCAATTCTGTATCAGGATCATATGAGTTTGAGGAGGTGTTTCTTTCCCTAATACTACCCCTGTTATTTGTCGACACACGCAAAAGGTGTCGTGCTACTAGGAGAACATAATATACGAAGAGGTCTTTTTCTAGCTGTCAGAATTATTTCAAAGCTTCCATTCGATTTAAAAATTTGCTAATTCTGTATCAGGATCATATGAGTGCGAGGAGGTGTTTCTTTTCCTAATAGGTACTACACCTGTTACTTGTCGACAAAGTTATGTAAAATGTGTCGTGCTACTAGGAGAACATAATGTACGTTTTTCTAGTTCTGTCAGAATTAAGTCAAAGCTTTCATTCGATTTAGAAATTTGCCAATTCTGTATCAGGATCATATGAGTGCGAGGAAGTGTTTCTTTTCCTAATACTACACCTGTTACTTGTCGACAAACTTATGTAAAAGGTGTCGTGCTACTAGGAGAACATATTGTACGAAGAGGTCTTTTTCTACCTCTGTCAGAATTATTTCAAAGCTTTCATTCGATTTAAAAATTTGCCAATTCTGTACCAGGATCATATGAGTGCGAGGAAGTGTTTCTTTTCCTAATACTACACCTGTTACTTGTTGACAAACTTATGTAAAGGGTGTCGTGCTACTAGGAGAACATAATGTACGAAGAGGTCTTTTCTAGCACTGTCATAATTATTTCAAAGCTTTCATTCGATTTAAAAATTTGCCAATTCTGTATCAGGATCATATGAATGCGAGGAGGAGTTTCTTTTCCTAATACTACACCTGTTATTTGTCGACACACGTAAAAGGTGTCGGGCTACAAGCAACCAACATAACACAATTTCAACTGTTCCGTGAATTTCAAGCAACTTCGATCCGAGATGTGAAGAGAATCCAAATAATTCGTTTGTCAGGGGTTGAAAGGAGCAAATTTTCTATGACCATCAATGGCCACTTCCTTTTTCACCTCTAGCTAGGTTCCTATTGGCTGTGTCACGTATCGTCTCCATGATACAAATGATCTGGGGCTCTCCAGCCATCTATATTTATAAGTAAAGTCACTTGGCATCCCATCCTCAGCTACATTCTCGAACGTCGGGACCCAGTGCCAATCCTTGGAAGAAGGCAGTTCCTTGAAGTTCCCAGCGGCTTCACAAGCCATCTTGTACTCTCCCTTCTTGATTCAAAGGATCGGCACCCATCGTCCACCCAGTCTTGATCCGGCTACCCCTTTATCATAGTTTCGCCTCGCCCCGCAATCCCTGGTTCTAACTATTTTTCGTATTGGCTAATTTCGTCCCAGTATTTCGAGTTTTTGAGCATTATTGATACTGGATATGAGCCTTCCATATTTTGGAGTCATCCATTACGCAGTGTGCAAATCTCACTGAAAGTCGCCAGCGGTAGTGGAACTATTTTATGTCCGGCTGTATGTGTGGCGTCAGGTCGTTCAATCCATCCCTGGAGTGTATCGTACCCCGGAGCGGAGATGGGTGATCTGGGGCAGTGGCATATTGGCGCTGTGGTGACGTTTGGATTAGATGGGTGCCACGTCTTGGTCGATGACTGTTCAGACAACTGCCAGACGTCAGCTCCACCCGTACCTGCAATTGGTCAGCACGGTTCGTCCAATCCAACGCCATAGCGAACCTCCCGCCGCAAATATAAGCCGCGTCGTAACCACCAGCCAGTCAGTAAGGTTGAAAGAGACTGGATTGGACTTTCTGCATACGGAGTACTGTTACAGTACCCCCCTCCTGTATCTAGTTTACTTTGAAAATGAATGAAAAACAAAACCAAAACATCTATAAAACATTGCCTTCTGAACTAAAACAAAAGTGGACGTTTCTTATGCTCGAAGTGTTCGAGGAACTGTAGCACCCTGCTTTTGAAACAGAATCCTGATTTTCTTTTTTAATACGCCTCATGATTTCTGTTTGACGAATTCCCCACCGCTTTGCCAAAATGGTTCATTTTCCTACACGCGGCGCATTTTTTTTCGATTGCTGGACAAGTGTCCTTTTGTTTTGTGGCACAAATTACCACACGATAAACAAAATTGATCGTATCGCTTCATATTATTTCAGACTTACTCACCGTGCTTGTGACCAGGATACCTTTAAGAAAGGGTCTTAAAAACCGGTTGTAAAATCAAACTTTATTTAAAAAATAATAAATTATTTTCCAGCATCTTCTTTTAATCCCACAGTTTGATTAAGTACAAGCTGAAAATGAGAACTTGTCAATCGCTTGATCGACGCCTTGTCACTTACCTTGGAAAATGTCGTATCCGGATCAACGGAAAAGAAGCCTAAACGTTCAAATTGAAATTTATCTAAAACTTTGGCGTCTTTCAGAGAACGATCGGCGAAGCTCTCCAGAATTTTAAGCGAGTCCAAGTTACAGTCGCTCAAAAATCCGTCGGGCACTTCGAGTGGATCTTCCGGATTCTTATGCCTAAATCTAGGAGCAGTCGGCGAATTACAATCGAAAAGCTTCCCTCGCGTACACTTACAATGGCTCGTATAATCGCACTTCGACGGCTAGTGGCTCGCTGACCCAGTGTACGAACGCCTTGGGTTTCGTTGCCACCTTGTCGATCTCGATACACGTGCAAACGACCTCGACCACTTTACCGTGGGCGTCTTTCTTCACGCCCTTGTGCTCCAGCGCGTAACCGGCGTGCCGAAGACCGACGGACTGTTTGGGCGTTAACCTTCGGTATCCTTTCTCACCCTCCTAAGGTGTGGAATTAGCAGATCGTTTTCGTGACAAAACTCGCTTACCTCCATAAAGTCGTTGGCTTCAATATAGATCACTCTGTCGAAGGTGACACTGTGGGAGCCCGCCTCCGGTTTGCTCGGGAAGTTTGGGACGGACACTTGGGTCGGGTTATTGTGAGGGTAGTTTTCTATCGTCACTTTTAGAGGGTCCAACACCACCATCACCCTGTAAGCATCGATACAGTCAAGTCGAGTCGAGTAGGCGTGGCCACGAACCTAGGCGCCGTGCTGTTCAGATAGTCCCTAACGTACGCCTCCAACATAGACGGATCTATGGACATTTGCGCACCGGTAACGCCAAGCTGGGCGCAAAAATTGTTGATCGATTCCGCCGGAAAACCCCTCCTCCTCAACGCGGTTAAGGTGAACAATCGAGGATCGTCCCAGTCTGAAATGTAACTCGACTTTATTAAGAAAATCGCCGACTTCGGGCCGAATACCGTTCACGATCCGTTCTTCGATCAACTTCGCGATTTTTCGCTTCGACACGACTGTGTAGTTGACGTTCAATCGACCGTACTCCCACTGGACCGGGCAGTAAATGTTGAGCGCGTTGCAAAGCCAATAGTAACTCGATCTCCTAAAGCAAAGGTAATGAGTGGTGGGTGGACGCGCGCGCAGTTACCGTGACTGGAACTCTTTGGTGCAAAGGGAATGGGTGATATTTTCGATACTGTCGCACAGGCAGTGGGTGTAGTCGTACGTTGGGTAGATGCACCAACGGTCGCCGGTACGATGGTGAGGTATAAAACGGACGCGGTACGCCACTGGATCCAGCTTCCCCTCCTCCAACGTGATCTTCATCCTTAAAGTCGCCGCGCCCTCGTCGATTTTCCCATTTTTCATATCCTAAGACTTTGTTAATAGCAACGCAAACTCGTACTCGAAGTACGAGCGAATTCCGAAGGTAACCTCCAAGAATGCAGGCGACCTTCGAACCGCCTATCGTACGAGGTCTGCGCAGGTTGAACGGCCAACCTTTGGACTTTGAACGATGAGCAAACTATGAATTTTGAACGGTGGTTGTAGTTTTAGTAGTCATTAGTCCGACCTTGAAGTTGTAAGTGTGCGCATGCGCCGGCATCTTAACGCCAAATAAAAAAATTTCCCCCAGCAGTCACTGACGCCGCGCGTCCAAAGTGGCGAGTCGACTACCGAAATATTACCTCGGGCCGACTGCCAAAATTTGATGGTATGGAAAATCGTATACACGGTGTCCATTTTTCGAGTGCCACTATGGTGATCTCGCTTATTTTAAGAGATAGAAACTTGGTTAAATTAGGGCAAAGTTGCGAATTTTCGTGCTGAATACTAATCTACAAATAAATTTATAATATCTTCAATAGTTTTGAAAATATGGCAAAAAATCGAAAATTTCTGAATTTCATTTTTAACTTTTTTATGGTAAACTAATTGTACTAGACATTTCTAATTAACACATTATTCAGACACTTTTTTAATAGAGATTTCGAATATGGCATCCCGTTTTTAATAACTTTCAGGATAACAGAGAAACATGTGGAAACTTTAGTTTTTTTTATGGGCGCCGTTTTGGATTTTGACATTTTGAGATTAGGTCTTTTTTTCTCTTTACAACGATATATCACACATGGTGGTTCAGTATCACATTTTTTCTAAAAATACAATTTTCATTTTCTGCGAAGAGTGCCATGCAAAAACAAAATGTTCATTTGTTGTGAACTGACTTATTTCAAGCAGGTGTTATTTACGTTTGTGCTAGTTTTATTGCTAAAATATTATTTATTCTTATGTATTTTGTTCTATTTTGAATTATAATTTTATTGCAAAACGAAGGTTCAATTCTGTTCATATGAAAATCGAATTTTCTCAACACATCTAGTTCCCTGATGCCAACGCTGCAACCGGACATATGCATCAAACTGTCAAACTTTTGTTCACAATAAAACAACGTTTTGTTTTTCCAAAGCACTCCTCCCAAAAAATTAAAAATTGTATGTTTAGCAAAAATGTGGTACTGAACCACCATGTGTGATATATCGTTGTAAAGAGAAAAAAAGATGTAATCTCAAAATGTCAAATTTCAAAATGGCTCCCATAAGAAAAACTAAAGTTGCCACGTGTTTCTCCATAACCTTAAAAGTTATTAAAAACGGGATTTTATATTCGAAATCTCCATTAAAAAGTGTCTGAATAATGTGTTAATTAGAAATGTCTAGTAGGATTAGTTTACTATGAAAAAATTAAAAAGGACAATCAGAAAGTTTCGTTTTTTTGCGATATTTTCAGAACTATTGATGATATTTCCAGATGGTTATTCAGCAGGGAAATTCGCAACTTTGCCCCCATTTAACCAACTTTCTATCTCTTAAGGTAAACGAGATCGCCATAGTGGCACTCGAAAAATGGACACCGTGTATATCTTTGTAAATGCCCATTTTATCAAACATGTTCCAAAGAATAGCTATTTTGTATTTAATTTTTGAGAAAATCGCGAAAAATTGCAACAAGACCAATAAGAACTCTGTAAATTATCGAGTTAGTGTATGTATGTCAAAAAACTGTCAATAAAAATTAAGCTTTGTTCTTGTATCCATTTTGTAAATATAAGCTTGTAGAAAGAAATATTGTGGTTGGTTACTCTTTATTTCAAAAAGAATAAACTCTTTACCTGAAACAGCTGCAAGCTTTCCTCTATGGGACGGTCCCGCCATAGCGATGGTTCAGGATTAAATCCCTTCATTTCATCCGCAGTCTGATGGCAGACGTACGCCATACCGTTCTTGATCAGTTGCACCGCCCATTCGTACAACCGATCGAAATAGTCGGACGAATGTGTAACATCGGCCGGCTTATAACCTTCAAGCTAAGACTGAGTCAAGTTTTACTCGACGGCAAACGTACCTAACCACTCGACCATGTCCTTAATGGCCGTAAAGAACTTTTCCTCCTCCTTCTCGGGGTTGGTATCGTCGTACCGCAGGAAACAGATGCCCTTCTGCGCGGCGGCGTATCCAAAATTAATATTGATCGCCTTCGCGTGCCCGATGTGCAGAATACCGTTGGGCTCTGGCGGGAATCGAGTCCGCACCTGTCCGCCGGTGGCGTTCAGGTGCTCTCTCAGCAGCCTGTGCGTGTTTTCGGTTATCACGTATCCGTCGGTTTTGAAATTCTCGCCGGGCGCGTGGAAGTTCACCTTTCGCATTACGTCGACGATAGTCAACTCCTCGGCCGCCGCCTGCTCCACCTTCTCCGCCACTTTGGCGACCTTCGCCTTTTTGTCGACGCGCGCGGCGGGTGTGGCGACGTCCGCCTCCGTCTTGGGACCGAGCATGTCGAAAACTTGAACGTCGATTTCGCTTTTGACGGCCTTACCTGTTACGTACAAAGAGAGTTAGGCAATTGATGGCTTTTCTTGAGAACGTAGAGGGGGTGTACCTTGGGTGGGGAGCATTGTACCGGATGGTCCGGATTGCGATCGCTTTGCAGTTTTAAAAATGTTTTCGAATGTGATTTCATTCAACATAGGGAAATTTACACATATACCGCTTCATATTAAACCTGAACAAAAACATGTCCGGTGATAAAAACAATAAACGGTGCGTGCTTATATTAAGTAGATAAGCACAAGCTCAGCCTTGTTGCCAGTTCTAATAACCGTTGCGGCGAAGAGGTAGACGCGCTTTAGAACATATGGTACTCAAATGTAAAAAAAATTAATTTGTGAATTTCGCTCATAGCAAAATCCGCTTAATAAAAAATTAATGAAGCGGGAATTGGCTTTTTATTCAGGTACATAAACCAGATCTCGATCCATGCTTTTGAGAATCTAATGCAAGTTTGCCCGTATACGCAATTACGATTATACTGAAAATTTTATTCAACAAAAAACCAATATTACCAAGGCACTACCAAAAGTTCAGCTAACACGAGACAAAGCGATCCATTTTCCATTTAAAGTTGAAGCTGCCTTTTTTTTTCATATTGGTAGGTACCATTCCTTTGGTTGGATTCAAATTTTACTTAGTACTAAGATACGAAAATATGTAACTGCACCATTAAGGGTCTGCCAGGAATATGGAATAATCACTCAAAAAAAAAAATGAGTTCATGTCTATTCATGTAAGGGCGTTTAATAACCTTAGAGTATGTGAAATCAAGACCATTTAGGAGTGCATGTCATGGCCTTTAAAAGTCCTCCAAAAGACAAACGAGCAACAATGAGCCGTCGAATTCGGACAATATGTGTTAAGGTCAGTTCTTCAATAGTGTAATGTAATTATGAATTAGGAACGAAAAATTACCGTCAGCCCATGGCAGGTCGTGCATCACCTCCTTGATGACTTTACCGGCATTGTAACGATAGCGCTTCTCGAGCAGTTCATCCTTACATTTGGCGAGATGCTTTTCGACGACGCGTTCGATTTCCTCGGGCGTGACGACCACGCCGACGCCGCAGTGCTTCTCGAACTCGTCCACGTTTAGTTTATTAACGTGAGACAGCGTGTACTCGATCGCCTTGTCGATGCGGAGAGTGGTGTCGAGTTTCTTCGTCGCAATGTATTTTACGATGAACGGTAGGTGGGCGTTAATTTGGGGTTTGGTGCGAGTCGCGAGGTGATAGAGAAGAAGTCCGATGCCGTCTTTCAATACAATTCCACGTACCTGCAGAGAAAAACTAAGATAAACAGCGGAAGTAAGGTTACGATTACCTCATTTAAAATTGTTGTTAAGGTCTTGGTGACCGCAACATTCTTTAGCGTTTCCTTCGCTTTATTTTCGCTTAAACCCAGATCCATAAAGTCGGATAATAGCTTTTTCTCTTCCATTTTTCCTAAAAAATTTTCAAAAAGGTTATACGTTTAGGGTTTTTACGTTAAAGGAACGTTTAGGTTGGTAAGTCTTTTGTTGGTAGCAGGTAAATAAATCTAGGGACATTTCGGCCATGTCAGTTCCTTCACAATTTGGTTAATAGCCAAATTCGTTTTTGTGGTTGCATAATAAATCTTTTGGAAAATGTTACAATCGTCAAAATTATCGTGTTACGTACGTTCCGCCAATCAGGTTGTCAGTAACAACTTAAAGCAAGCCACCCCCAATGCAGTCATCCCCAAGAAAGCTATCACCAAACCTCCCCTCGAAGTCCACACCAGCTACACGCTGAGCCGCCAGCTGCCTTTGGGGAAGTTCGTCACGGTCTCCGGCCCCGCTGTATCGACCCAAGTACGCTTTGCACACACCGACATCAAAGTACCAGACTTTTCCTCTTATCGGCGAACGCAGGTGATCGATCCCAATGTCAAGAGTTCGAGCACGGTCGACGAACGTCAGAACATGACGTACCTGATAGCCGGAGGTGGACTAATAGGCACCATGTACAGCGCCAAGGCACTCGTAACGAAATTCATCTCGTCAATGAGCGCGTCCGCCGACGTACTCGCGTTAGCCAAAATTGAAGTGAAACTATCCGAGGTCCCCGAGGGCAAGTCCGTAACGTTCAAGTGGCGAGGCAAGCCGCTATTCATCCGTCATAGGACCGCCGAGGAGATCGAGGCCGAACGTTCCGTTCCGGTTTCGAGCCTACGCGATCCGCAGCACGACGACGAGCGCGTCAAGCGGCCCGAGTTTCTAATCGTTCTGGGCGTCTGCACGCATTTGGGTTGCGTGCCGATCGCAAACGCCGGCGATTTCGGCGGCTACTACTGTCCGTGTCACGGTTCTCACTACGACGCGTCCGGACGAATTCGGAAAGGGCCCGCCCCGCTTAATTTGGAAATTCCCGATTACGAGTTTGTAGATGATCTTGTTATTGTGGGTTGAGCCGGGTTCACATGTTATTTATTTTTAAGTATAAAGTGACATGTAGACGTTTAGGTAAAATAATTTTTGTAAATACTGTACTCAAGTGGAAAACACGCAAGTTTCAATAAACTCTTAAGATTTAGTTGTTAAATGAAGGGAGGGAGCTTGCAATTAATTTAATTATTTATTGAAGACACTTGAGAGATTCTTCAAGAAATTAAAAAAATTAAAGATTTCTAATAAAACTCTAAATATTTTTCAGAGATGTCTTAGATTTTCTTAGAGATTTATAAAAAATATTTCTCCCAAATGTGTACAACCCCTCGTACCCTTATGATCATTTTGTAGAAACACACTTCACGGAAGAACAGACGGCAGTAGTCTCCGCCGAACTGAACTTCGCCTTGTAGAAGTATATTTTATTTCTGTTTTGTTTATGGGGATAAATAAAGGCATTATTATTATTATTATGCCTTGACGCCTCATTCTCCTTCGGGGTATTCCAGACGTTCTCCAAAAAAATTTATAATTTTTTTTACTACTTACTTCCCAGACGCCCGGGTACTACGTTACCAAAAAATTACCTTACCCCCCTTTTCAAGGCCGCCTATTATGATTTTTTTTTGCCCATCAGCTCTCTTTCCCTGGGACCTATTCAGTTGTCGTGTGATTTTCTACACAAAAACATAGGTGAGCTAAACCGGCAAGAAGAAAGACCCTATGGCTGAAGCGGGGGGAGGGTAATGAGCTATATCCCCCCGCCCCCAAACAGTAGAAGACTACCTTCTTGTGGGAGGTTGCCGTAATAACGTTTTTTCGGAGAACGTCGCACGTGGGGATCGGGGGATCTAGGATATCTCCGACAAAAAGAAGAAATTGTGGATATTTCTAACAACACCAAGGGTTTGGAGGGTCTGGAATGCCCTTCAGGACTCTCCTTAAAAAATGGCGATGAGAGCGCGAACGATTTTTGAGATAATTAACATCGGGGGATCTTCCAGGGGCAAGAGAAGTTAACAGTTATTCTGAAGAAAATGATTGGAGTGCAAGAGGTTTTTTTAGGAGCACCGGTGTGATGGCGAAGGGGGGGAATTACGTCTAGTTCGCAAAAATTCCACTGCCTGAAACTGTGGTCATATGGTCTTATAAGAAACGTTGGTGACAATAGAAATTGGAGCCGATGCGAAAGTGTCATGTTACCATGGTGATATGTCAAAAGTTTCAAAATTTCCCTTGTAAACACCAGGAGTTTATTTCGCCATGGACGACGTCGAAACGGAGCTCGCATGCGACGACGGCGTCTCCGCCCTAGCTTCGGACGCCACGCGCACAGGCGACGCCGTTCACACGATCTCCGCCGGAAAGGACCCCAGCCACGATTCCGTACCGGCCCTGCAGTCCTACCAGATAAAGCCCGCCCTGGAAGACAAGTAAGTGCCACCTGGAACACCCCCCCTTCTAAACCCAAACTTGCAGATTTAAGGAGAACCCGGTGAAGGAGATCATTCGCAATACGGTTACGAGCAAGCTCGCGGGACGGTATTACGACTCGGACAACGCGAAGAAGTGGACCATATCGATCGCGAACGATGTCAATACGCGAGTTAGAGGTATGAGACGTTCTTTATGTGCCCAGCAGGGACTCAGCTTTTGCCTCTTGTAGAGTTGAAAATGAAGCGATACAAACACATCGTGCAGGTCACCATCGGTGAACTGAAAGGAGCCGGGGTCAAATGCGGAGTGCGTTGCCTGTGGGATTCCGAAACGGACGGCTACACCAGTGACACCTTTATGAACGTAAGTGTATATGCCAAATTGGTGCGAGTAATTAACACCCCTCTGTTGCAGGAGACCATTTTTTGTGTTGTCGTCGTGTTCGCAGTGTATTTATATTGAAGATTTGTAACGAATAAAATGTTTTATTAGCGATTTAGTTTAACATGCAAGATTCGTATGTTGGGATTATGTACTTGATGTTGATGAAGGCGTCCTCGCCTCCGTACCTCTCCAGTAGCTCTAAGGTTTCGTTGATCAAGTCGGCGATATTCTCGCCCCTCATCTGACTGTAGTCGATTTCGTCCCCCACGTTCACTGTAACAAAGAGCCTTGCGGTCCAAGTCGCTACCCGTCACTTACCATTCTTCTCCTTGTACAAATTTAGAGTTGGCAGAATCTGGCGATAGTAAGGCACGAGCGCCTCGCCGACCATATCCCCCGCCTTCACCAGGTGCTGTAACACCCTGAGGGTGCTGCACATCACTTTCTTGTTTTTACTGGCCAATGCGTCTTAAAATGAGCAATTATAGCGATTCTTAGAGTGAGCAGAGAGGGGGGGGCTTACTTTTAATTGGTATAATCAGTTGGGGTATGCAGGGGAAAATTTTGCTACCCCCGTAAATGAGCAGATCGTATATGCCTTGCTGCGCGAAAAACCTGTACGGCTCCTCGGTCTCGCACAGCCCCTCGAAGAACATCGGCAGATAATGGTGGTAGTCGAGTTTTTTTATGTCGACCTAAAGCTGATGGATTTCGACAAGTTTGATTTAGGGCGGTGCGGCTTTTACCTTCCACGATATGCTACGGTTGGGTCCGAGGGCGATGGGGAGGTCACCTCTTCCGTAATACGTGCGGAAAACGGTTTTCCGGATGGGCTTCTCCTTGTAGACGTCGCACTTCGCCGGCGGCGAAACGCACGTGTTTTTTTGCATGCTTTGAATCGTAAATGCGGGAACGGTGCGGCATTTTTTCCTTTGCGGCGCACCGGGTAGGGGTTTGCGGAGGCTTTCGAGGAACTCCTTTCCACTTACCATCTTAGGGGAAGGTTTACGAGCAATGTCAAACTGCTGTTTATTCGTTGCTAGGCAACAATTTTGCGGTCGTTTTACATTGCACTGGGGAAACATGCCAGAACGACTGTTCACAGCTTCTTCAAAAGGTAGGCATGAGGCTTGAAAGGAGATGATAAAAGAGACCATGAGGAAGAAGAAGGCCTGATGAAAAGGGCATAAAGGAGGTGGGAAAGAGACGCGCTAAAGGAGGTAGGAGAAGACTTGAAAAGAGGGTTCCAAAAGGAGGTGTGAGAAAAGCGTAAAAGCGCGAATCGAAGGAAGAATTGTGAAAGTTCGATGGAAACGCTAAAAATGTTTGGAAAAAGCCTAAAGGAGGCGAGAGGAAAGGTCAAAGATGACGTGACGTAAGCTCTAAGGAGACGAGAAAAAAGCTTGAAAGAAATAAAGAAACAGGAAGTGGGTTCGATCTTCCGAAGGGGGCATGAAAAAGTATGAAATCCACACTAAAGACAACGCCATCGAAAAGACCTCTTCGTACAACATGTTCTCCTGGTACTTAGCCAGAAAAATATTGTACAAGAGTTTGCCATGTGTATTAGGAACAGAACAAAGACCTCCTAGTGCATTATATTCTCCTGATACAGAATTGGCAAAAATTTAATTCGAAATAAAGCGGTGAAATAATTGTCATAGTTCTAGAAAAAGACTACTTCGTTCATCATATTCTCCTACTGTTAACTAAAACATGTGCACAACTCTTGTGCAGATAAAGCGCATGTTTTTAACCGTCTCAATCGTCCTTGCGAGTACCCTCTCCCGACAATCCGTTCTTGAGGTATAAGGAAATATACCCGATCACGTTAAGAGGTCGAGGAGAAGCGCGAGGGCTATGGTTGGTATAAATTAATTTCTTTCGTTGAGACCTTTCATTCGAGTACTATGAAGGATAAAACTAGTTCCACTCCCCCCCCCCCCCTTTACCCTCCACTCCGTACTTTGATAATAGGGCAGAAAGAAGGGCAGTAGTTGGTAGAAAACGGTTGCTTCCGTTGCGATCTTTAATTAGAATACAATGAGAGATAGAATTAATGTTTACCCCCCCCCCCCTCTCAGACCCCGACCCAATTTATTTCGATGAGACCTTTCATTACAATACCATGATTGGTAGAACATGTGTCCCCCACCCCTGCTTGTCGTATATAAAAATTATGCACGTTTTACTTTCAAAAACAGCATTTCGGGAAATAATTCAAGGGGGGGGGGGGCATTTTAGACAGCGAAATTTGATGGCTGTCTGACACACTTTCAAGGTATAGGCTACCTGACAGAAATGAGTCCGGACGGATGGACGGACGGACAAAACGCAAACAATAGCGCATTTTTTTTTAATTCTTAAAATATGCGCTCAAAATTGTACAAGAGTTTGCCAACAAATGCCACGTGTATTAGGAGCACAAAAACCTCCTCGTGTATTACATTCTCCTGATACACAATTGACAAAAACTTAATTCAGAAAATTTTTACAAGGGTTTGCAAACAAATGCCGCGGATATAATTATAGGCACAGGAAGACCTCCTCGTGCAATTATATTTGCCTGATACAGATTTGGCCAAGATGTAAATCGGAATAAAGCTTTGAATTACTTCTCATAGGGATAGAAAAAGACCTTTTCGTCCATTATGTTCTCCTGGTAGCCAGAATAATTTTACATAAGTTGATGGTCAACAAATAACAGGTGTATTAGGAACAGAGAAAGACCTCCTCATGCAATATATTCTCCTGATATAGAATTACACTTTGTATATTATACTTTGTATTACACTTTTATAAAACGTATCGGGAGAATATAATGTCCAAGGAGGTGATTGAACGTTAGGTTACAGTTTTTGTGTATCAGGAGAATATAATATGCGAGGAGATTGAAGGCTAGGATAAAATATTAGTGAGGTTAGGTTAGAGTGCTAGTTAGGTTAGGTCAAATTAGTTTATCAAAATTTTAGACGCTTAATTCAATTTGACCTAACATAACTATCACTCTACCATAACCTCACTAACATCTTATCCTAACCTGCAATCTCCTCGCACATTATATTCTCCTATTACAAGATTTCTGACCTAACCTAACCCACTCTAACCTAACCTCACTAATATTTTATCCTAACTTCAATCTCCTCGCACATTATATTCTCCTGATACCAGATTTCTGACCTAACCTAACTATCACTCTAACCTAACCTCACTACTATTTTAATCTCCTCGCACGTTATATATATTCTCCTGATACCAGATTTCTGACCTAACCTAACTATCACTATAACCTAAGCTCACTACTATTTTATCCTAACTTCAATCTCCTCGCACGTTATATTCTCCTGATACCAGATTTCTGACCTAACCTAACTATCACTCTAACCAAACCTCACTAATATTTTATCCTAACCTTCAATCTCTTCGCACATTATATTCTCCTGATACATGATTTCTGACGTAACCTAACTATCACTCTAACCTAACCTCACTACTATTTTATCCTAACTTCAATCTCCTCGCACGTTATATTCTCCTGATACCAGATTTCTGACCTAACCTAACTATCACTCTAACCAAACCTCACTAATATTTTATCCTAACCTTCAATCTCTTCGCACATTATATTCTCCTGATACATGATTTCTGACCTAACCTAACTATCACTCTAACCAAACCTCACTAATATTTTATCCTAACTTCAATCTCCTCGCACATTATATTCTCCTGATACCAGATTTCTGACCTAACCTAACTATCACTCTAACCTAACCTCACTACTATTTTATCCTAACTTCAATCTCCTCGCACGTTATATATATTCTCCTGATACCAGATTTCTGACCTAACCTAACTATCACTCTAACCTAACCTCACTACTATTTTATCCTAACTTCAATCTCCTCGCACGTTATATATATTCTCCTGATACCAGATTTCTGACCTAACCTAACTATCACTCTAACCTAAGCTCACTACTATTTTATCCTAACTTCAATCTCCTCGCACGTTATATTCTCCTGATACCAGATTTCTGACCTAACCTAACTATCACTCTAACCAAACCTCACTAATATTTTATCCTAACCTTCAATCTCTTACGCACATTATATTCTCCTGATACATGATTTCTGACGTAACCTAACTATCACTCTAACCTAACCTCACTAATATTTTATCCTAATTTCAACCTCCTTGCACATTATATTCTCCTGATACAAGATTTCTGACCTAACCTAACTATCACTCTAACCTAACCTCACTACTATTTTATCCTAACTTCAATCTCCTCGCGCGTTATATTCACCTGATACAAGATTTCTGACCTAACCTAACTATCACTCTAACCTAACCTCACTAATATTTTATCCTAACTTCCACCTCCTTGCACATTATATTCTCCTGATACCAGATTTCTGACCAAACCTAACTATCACTCTAACCTAACCTCACTACTATTTTATCCTAACTTCAATCTCCTCGCACGTTATATTCTCCTGATACCAGATTTCTGACCTAACCTAACTATCACTCTAACCTAACCTCACTACTATTTTATCCTAACTTCAATCTCCTCGCGCGTTATATTCACCTGATACAAGATTTCTGACCTAACCTAACTATCACTCTAACCTAACCTCACTAATATTTTATCCTAACTTCCACCTCCTTGCACATTATATTCTCCTGATACCAGATTTCTGACCAAACCTAACTATCACTCTAACCTAACCTCACTAATATTTTATCCTAACTTCAACCTCCTTGCACATTATATTCTCCTGATACAAGATTTCTGACCTAACCTAACTATCACTCTAACCTAACCTCACTAATATTTTATCCTAACTTCAACCTCCTTGCACATTATATTCTCCTGATACAGATTTCTGACCTAACCTAACTATCACTCTAACCTAACCTCACTAATATTTTATCCTAACTTCAATCTCCTCGCACGTTATATTCTCCTGATACCAGATTTCTGACCTAACCTAACTATCACTCTAACCTAACCTCACTAATATTTTATCCTAACTTCAACCTCCTTGCACATTATATTCTCCTGATACAAGATTTCTGAGCTAACCTAACTATCACTCTAACCTAACCTCACTAATATTTTATCCTAACTTCAACCTCCTTGCACATTATATTCTCCTGATAGAAAATTTCTGACCTAACCTAACTATCACTCTAACCTAACCTCACTACTATTTTATCCTAACTTCAACCTCCTCGCACGTTATATTCTCCTGATACCAGATTTCTGACCAAACCTAACTATCACTCTAACCTAACCTCACTAATATTTTATCCTAACTTCAACCTCCTTGCACATTATATTCTCCTGATAGAAAATTTCTGACCTAACCTAACCTCACTCATACTTTATCCTAACTTTTGATCTCCTCTTCTCACATCATGTGCTCCTGATAGATGACTTCTCACCTAACGTAACCTCACTAATAACCAAACTCTGATCACCTCGTGCGAGAACAACCATTCCCTTTAGTAGTTGAAGGAGTGGAACTGGAAGTGGAAGTTATTTAAAATATGCTCTCGATTACCCTCCCCTTCACTGATGTACTAGGTTCCCCCCTCCGCAACACACGGACCAAACGCTCGTCGGCATCTTTTTCGATCTCTGAGGGCGCCGGTACTAATCGCGACGCCTCTTCGAGGACGATAGCGAAGGAGTGAGCCACCTCCGTCGCAACGGCACTGGGTCCCGCTGCTCCGGTGGAGCCCTCTCGCTTAATTGGGTCAGCCGGAGCATTCGATTTCGTCAAAAAAGTGACTGAAAGTTATGCTGCTCGACACCAAATGCGAAGAAGACCCCCTACCAGGCTCCTTCCTGCGGAAGAACGTCTTTCATAAGCTCGACTAATGGCCCTGTCATCCGGGAGTCCGTATAACACAGCCATCACCTTGGTTACCGTAGGGACGTGCTTCTGAACCTTCAGAAACCCGCCGTCCCAGGACCTAAAAAGAGGGACAGTCCTCGACAACCAGTCCAAGGTCTACTAATCCTACATTCGGCCACAATGGCACTCTGCGGAGGAGTCCAGCAGAACCCTGCCGGACCCCCCCCCCTCCATGCATTCCGTCGACAACTGCATTCAACGCACCTCGACTGAAGCTCAGGGATGTTCGGGAGCGATACCGGAACGATGGCCCCTCTGAGCCCCGCCGCAGCGACTTGTCGTGGCGCGCCCGCAACTGTGGCCCTGAGTCACATCTTGGAGTGCTTCCCTCCGTTCTGAGACGCCAGTACCAAGTAGAAGCGCGAGTAATGAAGAAGAACCGGGAATTTCCACCCCAAATGGAGCCCACACCACAGAAGTTCTGGCTGGAACCAACACCTACTGCGTCCAGAAGATTTCTCGAAACGCTCTCTTTTCTGGTGTACTTATCCTTGCATTTTGAAAGTTACGAGCAAACCACCATTTTATTAATACTTGAAGAACTGAATGTCGTCGTAGAATTGTTTTAAATAAATCA